CGCCTTGCCATGCTCTTCTTTCCCTCTCCCTCTCTCTGTTCTCGTCGTGACCGTGGTGAAGAAAGCTTCTCGCTGGAGGCAGGGGTTATCAAAGTACTCCGTTGGACTCTTTTCACACGCTTTCGATTTTGGTTCCAAAACAGACTGAGAGTGACCTATGTATCACGCAAATATCTGGCTCATCAGCATATCTCTGGAGCAGGCGGGATTGTCTCTCCTAGTGCCTGTGTACCTGTAGCTCAAGTCCCATCTCATATCTCGTCTCCGCCACATCTCAGCTCATGACTCTCTCGGCTCGTTCAGTATCGAGATACACATTCGCCCATGTGTGTGCTCCCCAAGTTCCCTGGATGTTGGCAAATATAATCTCATCAATAAAGGGGACTCATTCGTCATAACTGTACGCCCCAAAATCCTTTTCCACCACAGACCCCGAGCGTTCCCGCTGTCGGAGCCCAGCTCAAATTGCTCACTTCAAACTTGCACTCCCAGACTGCCGACGGGCCTCGCTCCTGTCCCTGTCCCTGGACCCCGCCGCTGCTGTTTGTTACACCACCTGGTACACTATTCGGTCCGGTCGACGCACTCGAGCCCATGAGGTCCCAGAGCAACACACAACAATCATCTGCCCCAGAGGCGAGTACGCCGCGCTGCGAATTGCTCCAATCGATACAATTCACGGCGGCACCGTGCCCTTTCAATTCAAGTAAGGCCTGGCCAGGTTGCCGGACGTCCAAAACACGGATGATGTTCGAGTCTTGGCTGAAGGTGGCGAGCAGGTGAGCATCGTGGGGAGAAGCCGCGATGCGGAGCAAGGGAGGCGGAAAAGAGAGCGTCGATATCCCCCCCGAACCTGATGCCCGTGTTGGTGAGGCGGAGAGAGGATCGGCCAGTTGTGCTTTGCGCAGGTTAGCTTGACGGATGTATGGGTAATGTACGCTCGAGACTTACGGTTCTTCTCCTGCTGCTGCTTCTCCGATGGCTCATAAATAATGGTGCTGTGTTCGAGACTTCTCAGATCAAACATCCTCACACTTCCGTCTGCACCACACGAGACAAACACATCTACGCTGTTCGCGCAAAACCGCACATCGTAAACTTCTTTGTCATGTGCAATGAGCTGCGTCTTAGCCGTAAGCGTGGGAATGTCCCAGATGGTGCAGGTCGTGTCGATGGACGAGGTGATGATCAGGGAGGGCTGCACCACATTCCAATCTAGCGAGGTGATGGGTGCAGTGTGTTCGGGAGATTTCGAGTTCGAGAGCAAGGCAAGCGGTGACAGTTTCTGTAATGGGGGGGTCTTGCTGTTCGTCGGTCGGGTGACTGAATTCGACGGATAAGAGTGTTGGTCGTTCGGCAGAGACCACAATCGAAGGTGGTCGCCGGATGTTGCTAATAGATCCGTCGTCTGCTTGTTCGATGAAGGCGGTTCCCATAATATCCTAGTTACAGGATATGCATGTGTAGCTTCTGCGGTTTTGATAAACTCCAGGCCTCGCTCACCGTGGGGGTTCTCTGGGTCTATTTGCGATCTTTGAGTGTCCAGTATTTGAATCTACCCCGATAGTGTCAATCACCAGAATCCTGATTTCCCAGCAATGGTTAATACTCACGTAATTATGATTGTCCTCCAGATAGCTGCCAATGGCCACTTTGCCTGCCGAACCGTTGCTGGACCGAGGAGGCCATTTACACCAATCCGCCGCGTAGATGGGCCAAGGCGCAATATAGTTGCTGTTTTGAGGGTACTGTATAATGTCGTTCTCTTGCGCTATCCCCGGACTGAAAGGTATGTCTGTAAAAGCCGGGTCTGTCCTCGGTCTGATGTCCGCTAGTCCGAGAGGAGAGTATGAGGGGGGTCCTTGAGGAGTCTGTGGCATGTATGAATTTGGGGCAGAGGGATATTTGCTCTGATCGGGAGTATCTGAGAATGGTTTGTATTTTGGCTGGTCCATGGCGCCGGGGCTGGACCGAGAGTAGGAGTGGGTGTGATTCAGTGGCTGTCTTGCGGATAGAGGAGGTTGTTGCTGCTGCTGTTGTTGTTGTTGCTGCATCTGAGTGGATATCTGAGGTAAAGTAGGTAGAGTAGGAGCCGTATTGCTGGCGGCTAGAGTCGCGGGTCTGCTTGCAAGGCCTGGTTGTAGTGTGCCCGGGATAGGCTGACTGGCAACGCTGCTAGGATGCTGAGGCGTAGAGGGCTCGATCTTGATGGACAGTGCTTCCCCTGTGTAGGCTGGCGGTGCACCATAGTGGTGGACGTCGCTCATCGCCGTGCCTTGCTGATTCAAATGCAGTTCGTCGGCCTGCTGGCGACCGATTGTCAGAGAACGCCTCAGACCTGGCTGGTATTGGCCAGTCTGGGCCTCTTGCACACTTGTATACGCGGACGGCGGAGGACCAGGACGGTATGGAATCACGGTACCGTTGCCATTGGTGTTTGGCTGCGATTGAGGTAGGTAGGGTCTGGGTTCGGGAGCCGTGGTGGGCGGATCGGGTTGATGGTTCAAGTATTGAGGGTTTGGGGCTCCAACGGAGGTCACGGTCTGGCCAGCAGAGTAAATGGCATTGACGGCGCTGTAGTAGTTGTCGTGGGAGAATTGCGGGTCAGAGAGTTGGTGCTGGTGGTGAGGAATGTGGAATGGCATACTAGGTAAAGGGAACAGCAAGGCAGAGTATCAGCACATGCGGACCAAATTTGTGTTTCTGCGTGCGCGGTGAGAATCAGTCCAGTTACAACCTATGTTCCGTTCACACACACACACGAGCGCAAGGGTGTCTTTGTCAGGCATGGCCCGGGCATGCTTCAGGCTCCCCATTGTCAGCCGCTTAAGCGCGAGGGGATCGTTAGTAGGGGCGGGAATGGCGTAGGGCACAGGACGAGGCAAGGAGGGGGGCGCATGCGCTCCGGATACTCATTGGGCACAAGACAACCTCAGGACATGCGGGCTGCGGGAAAATAGCCCCCGGTGCTCACTCACCTCGGTACATATGTTCTTGACGTTGACGATAGAATGATCACTCTCCGTGGAAGACAGAGAATGCTATAAGACGACAGTGTGCACGGAACCATCCCTTCTCTTATACAGCTTCCTGATTTCCCTCCCAATATCATTCTTGTTGTCCCTCTAGAGTCCGTGAAACAATGGCGCATGGTGTCTCGCTACTTCTCTTGCCGGCTCTGGCTCCGTCTCCATCGTCCTCCTCGTTCAGCTCAGCGTACAAAATCACATTTGAGTCCTTACTGCCCAAGCTTGTCCCTGCCGACAAAGACTCCACCTCCCGTCTGGACATCGGTCTGGTCCTGTCTTCATCTTATCCCGTGAGCACTAACACTTCACGCGCCACTGTATTTCCCCTCATCCAAGACCTCTTGAAGAAGTCGTACAGCCTTGTTTGTACCGTCGCCGCTCAGAAAGGGATCGACCTCGACTTCCCTGGCGGTATCGATGTGAGGATATTCATCTTGGAAGCTCGGCTGGATGAACTGCCGGACAATGTTGTCGGCAAGCAATATCTCTCCGGACCAATTGTGGACATCAAGACATTCGCCCTCTCTGACCGATCTTACACGGCTCTCTATTCTGTCGAAGGCGAGGGTCAAGAGGCCACCCTGCAGCAAGTGATCAGAATATGGAACTCCAGGTCCAGCCCTCCGCCACTACCACCCATTCACCGTCTCCAGAGTGGCCCTGCGATTAATCATCCCGAAAGCACCTCTGAAAAACACACGGAATCAATCATCGAAGACGGACCGCTTCCGATCCACCGATCTGTCGCTGTCGGCGGTACATTTGACCACATACACATTGGCCACAAACTGCTCCTAACCGCTACAATTCTCACGGCAGAGCCAGCTCAGTCTCCCAACCCCAAGTCGAACGAATCCCGATTGATCACGGTTGGTATCACCGGAGACGAACTGCTCGTTAACAAAAAGTACGGCTCATTAGTCGAACAATGGGATGTCCGACAACAACGTACCGCGGATTTCATAGACTCCATTCTGTCGTTCTACCCTCGCAGGTCAAGCACAGGCACAACTACAGCAGGGAATAGTCCCTCCACCACCGAATATATCGACCAACCGGGCCCTAATGGCAAGGTCGTCCGGGTCAGATACCATCTCCCCAGCCCCTCCACTGTAGATACAAGCAAAGGCGCGGCAGACATAACGATAAACTACACCCAGATCTCTGATCCGTTTGGGCCTACCATTACAGACCCGGATATCACTGCATTGGTAATTTCGGCCGAGACGCGCAGTGGCGGGAAGGCCGTCAACGACAAGAGGAGGGAAAAGGGCTGGAAAGCCCTGGAAATTTTTGAGGTCGATGTCTTGGATGCAGGCGTTGGACTAGACGACGAGCTGACCAAGGACGAGGAACAAAAGACGACCTTTGAGACTAAAATCAGCAGTACCGAAATCAGAAGAAGGTTACAGGAGAGAGGGTCAGCAATGCACCAGTAGAATACGCGCAATGGTCGCAGTTATAAGTCTTGGATAACGAGCCTGCCTCGAACGTGGGCCCGGCTTGGATCGCGGTGATGACAGATATATCGAGGTGTACACAGGGTCACTGGTACTACAGCAGTCGCCAGCGTCATGATCTACTGATGAAGTGTGGAATTGGATTAGCTGACGATGTGTCTAAAAACATGCAACCAGTGGCCAAGGGCTCACTGAGTATTTATGCCGCCGTTGCACATATCAAAGTCATGCACCATCAAAGAGTTTCACAGTCCAATATTTCATAGGTCATCTATCTCCGATACCACCATCTTCTGAACTCCCTTTGACATAGTCTGTGCTCCAAAGCAATTGATACGCGAGATTCGGTAGAGCTTCCAAGAGAGTGTGGGCGATTTCGTGATACCTATGCCGCTCTTATATTCTGCTTCGCTGATTGAATTGTTGGCTAAAGAAGATCGAGATCGCCTCCTGCGGAATCTATGGCACGCTGTTCCATTCCCAGAGGAAAGGGGTCGTATTTCCTTCTCCTTTATGCCTCGGCGTCATTCGAAGTTCCTGTGTTTGCCAGTGGGATCGACATCTCCTTGACCAGGACATGTGGTTGCTCGCTTTCCAAGTGTGGCAACGCTCCTGCCAAAGGATTCTTGGTCATCACAAAGGGGTCGTCATCTGGTGATCCACTGGGAAACAGCGCAAAGATACTGCTAAAGGGCGAGTCGGATGGCGGAAGTCCTGGATCGGTTGGTGGTCGCACAGGAGATTTCCATGCCAAAGGGTTTGTCCCTGTTCCACGGAAGGTAAGTGGAGGTCCAGGCAAAGGTGGCATATTCTCGTTTTCAATGTGTGTTTCGTAGAATGCGTGATATTCCTGAGATACAGGTCGGTAGGATGCAAAGGGGTCGGTAAATTGCAGGGCGGACTGATATGGTGGATGAAGCCACGGCGTGGAAACCTTGGGTAGTTGCTGGAAAGTGGTGTTACCATAGCCTCGACTTCCAGATTGAAGAGGGTTTCGATTCCCGCTCCTCGACATGCTTGCATGATAGGTGGGACTTCCGTCGGCGAAGACTTCGAATGGAGGCCGTTTGTGAGGAGCAAGGGATTGCATAGCCGGTTTGATGTCTTCTTCCTCATCTTCGGTTGGGAAGTAGCGAGAACCCAATCCATAAGAGTCACCCGTGGATGAACTTGGTAGGTATGGAAGGGGAGGCAACCCCTGGGCGAACGGAAGATCAGCATATCTCTTTGGGACACCAGCTTTGACCTTGCGTTTCACCAGCCGAGGCGCATTGACGTCTTTTTCCGCAAGTGGCCTTCTCTTGCGAGGTCGAGGAGGTTGCTTGACTTTGGGAACGGGAGTCTCGCCTTCTACCAAACTGCTCCCATCCTCAAGGTCATCAATGTGTCTCGCTTTCAGAACATTCGTGCCGCGAGGTGAGAAGACGACCTCGGTGGGTTCAACCAAGGCAGCGAGTCTCTCCATGCGTCTGAGAACGGAAGCGTCCTTCTTCTGATTGCGTTTTTGCTGCATCTCCTGCGTGGCAGCATCAAAAAGATCCATGCCTGGCCAGACGGTTCCCTTCAGCTTCATATGCTCTGGTGTGGCAAGAACTGGAGCTGGCCGGTTATCCTCAGCTGGACGGTCGTTACGGGAGGGGTAGTCATCGTCAGAGAATGGGGACTGCTTGATGGGAGAGTAAGCTTGAAGTCGACTTGTTCTGCGTCTGAAGTACTTGATCAGTGTCGGCTGGTGAGACTTTCAGGAGAGGTGCTTACCTAGAAGGTTTGACAGGGCTGAAGTCCGAGTCACTGTCGTCGACGGCTCGTGTTGCCTGTTTATTTCGAGTGCTTCTCCGCTGGGTCTGGGTCTGGGTCTGGGCCTTTGGTCTCCCTGGTCGTCTTGGAGGCAACGGTTGATTCAATTGTACATAGTCAAATATTCCAGGTTGTGGTTCGCAGGTGTTTCGTGTCGCAGCTGAAGCTCTTTTCTTTTTGGCTTGCTTGTTCTCTTTCATTTGCATTCTCTCCGAAAGCAGTCTGTCAATATCATGTTGCTGATACCAGTGGTTGTATTTAGCCAGTTCCACGCCGGCGGCAATGTCTTGGTAGCTGCGTACTTGGAGTTTGTGGAACTCGGACAGGTGTCCCTTGGAACTGACGTGAGTGAGCAAGTGGGAGGTGTCACTGAAAGAGGGTTGGCCTGGGCAGATGCTGCAGTTCAGCAAGTCCAGAGCCATGATGGCGCATGTAGCTGCCGGGAGAAGAAATAGAAGGGATGTGAGGAAACAGTGAGGCAGAATTGGCACAACAGGGACAACAGCACAAAAGCCTTCGAGACAGGGACGAAATGCGGGGGAACCGTATCTTCCTCCTGCACTCCGAACGGGATGAATGAATGAACAAGAAAGAGAGAAGGGAGCACAATGGGCGGAGAGAAGTAGCCCAGCAAGGGGAGTGGTGGCGGCGTGAGGAAGCAAGAGGTGCATTGAACGGCGGAGGGAAGAGAGAGAAAGGAGAAAGTTCGTGCACCGCATCCCGGAGAATGAGGAAACCCCAACCTGGCCTCTTACCATCTCATCGCCTCGCTGGAAAGGCAGGAGCCTCCTTAATTACGCTCGCTAGCATCTTGGGTCTATCAATCACCACGAACAGCTGGCTGCGAGACTTAGAAGACGCGGCTTCAGGCTCATTTGGGTCACCATTGGATGAGACTTGCCCTCCGCATACCGTCCATATTGATCAAATATCTCCAATTGTGTCACCAGGTCTATACTTCCTCTAGAACAAGGACAGTAGAGTGATGAAGCGGATATAGGCCGTGGTGAAGCTTTGATCTTCTCTTGCCTTGTATCCCAACTTTCAAGTGCCAATTCAAGTGGGTTATTAGATAGCAAGAGGATTGTCACCATGGACAATTCATCATTCTTTCCAGTATGGCAAGGCTTTGGTGATGGCTTGGGGCATGCAGCTGAAAGGTCCCAATTTTAGTCCGGTACAAGAGAAGACGCTGTCGCTGGGGGACTTACTACACAGGATCGACCTCGACGAGCCCTGGGTAGCCCAGCAAGCTCAAACCTGCGAGGCCGAATACCGTATGGAAAACATCCACCATATCGCCAGGTCTGTCCGCAAATCCTCCTTGGTCGGCGTCTTGACACCTCAGAATAAACTTGATCAGTTCTGAAGCATCGATCCAATGAAGTTTGCCCAACATTGCGATGCTACTAAGAACCCACCAGCTATAGCACACATCTTCAAGTTTCTCTGGCCGGCCATTCAGCCCACCATTGGGAAGTTGTCTTTCACTTAGCCAAGCAGCCAGTCGATCATAATCCACAATGTCTAGTCGACGAGCGATGGTCAATGCCCCGAGGCAAGTGAAGATTTGACCGGAATGAGACTCGGCGCCTGGCGAACGGCCAAACCCTCCATCAAAATTTGCGCAGGCCTGAATGTGGGAGACAGCCTTGTCCACGTCCACCAGGTGCATCATGTTTAGTATGGAAAGTGCGTTGAAGGCACCGTATAGAAAACGTGTGTCTGTCTCACCCCACTCATCTCCGGCGAAAGTACCAGTTTTGACGTCCTGAAGGCTCGCAATATCTGCGAAGTTATCAGCAATGCTATTTTCAACTTAGTAAGATGCGAGATCGGGTACATTTTGCTATCCGCTCCTTTCCTCCTCTTTGTGGCGACTCCAAGTCTTGTAGCGCATTGATTGTGGCAAGAATTTGGACGGCGCTGACTGTGTATAACATGTGGGAGTCATGGCCAGGAGCAGCACCAAAACCTCCATCCGGGTTCTGGCAAGAAAAGACGAATTGTAATGTTTTATCACGAGGTAGAGCATGGGGATGGCCCAGGAGGTGAAGCGCCGTCAGACCCCAATATACCCCGTTTAATCTTAGATGTTCGGTCAACCAGTAGTCGAGCTCATCTTTTCGCTGGCACAAAGTATCAACATCTTGTACAGTGTAAAGTACTCACATGGACGCACGGTATCCAAAAGTTGAATATACTTGACATGTTTTTCGACCACCAGGCTGACATCCTCCGGCACGATGGAGTGCGATCCCCCTACCCCAGGTCCTGCCACGAGTGACATTTGTTTTCAGCCGGACAATACGGATGCTGCTATGATGGAGGTGGAGAATGGGGTGAGCCTGAAGGAGATGGGTTGATTTAGTCGTCGATGATCGCGGTAGATTGATTGAAGTGTAAGGGGGAGTTCGTTCACCAGGGTTGTTAGAGGGCGACGCATGCGAGCTGCAGCTCATCTGCTGATCTGCTGATCTGCTTGGCATTGCGAAGACATGGATTTTTCGGGTACGCATCAGGCCTCCTCATTGACTTTCTCTGAATGGAAGATTGTTATTACCTGGTGCTCTAGAACATAAATCGCAAGTGTTGTTTGTAGTTAAGGATGCGTCAACGGGCGGTGTGACCTGAGCTTCCAACTGCGCCCTTGGTTGAATGTCACCGGGCGCACACTGATACCCAAAACGTCGATTCTGGGTACGGGGCACTTGGATAGAATACCACACTACTGCTTTTTTCTCTCCTTCACAGTTAGCCCCGATCTTACACATGTCAAGCCTTGTTGTCGATTTGCTCTGTTGTTCCTGCACATTTAGCTTCCAGGCTTTGCCTAATAGACTTGTTGGTGGTGACTGGATACCCCGGCTCCAGCCGTCTGCATGTCTCTGTGCCCCTGGCTGCGCATGTGAGGTATGAGGGGCACTCCAGGGGTTGTTGGTTGTCCACTTTCCAGGGCTCTCGGTGGCTCTCAGGGTTAGTTCGCTACGAAGTGCTCACTAATAAGCTCCAGTGGCTTGAGTGAGCCCCTAGCACGCCCATCTGCAAGTAACTTTGCCGGTGAAACCCAGATGGTGGGGGCACCGAACCTCTGTTTATCAGCGCCGACGGCGCCAAACCTGACAAAACATGGCATCCAAGCGAGTCCTGCTTCACCACCATCTGATACTATGTTTGAAGTCGCAATCGTCTCCCATCGTCTCAAGGATTCGCCCACTAACAAGTCCAGGTAACTCGGTGTCACAGAATGGAGCTTTGGCATCACTGGCCATCTCCTCCACACCAGATGCTTGCGTTATACGCACGCTAACCATCTAACTCGGTTCTGCACCAGGAGGAAAAAGGAAGTCCATGCAGTAGCAGGGAAACCATGAAAATCATCGCCTGCCGCTAGACGACGGGGTACGCAGAGGGTTTGCGAATCCTTCTGGTAACGGTGGTGCGTGGTGTAGGGCGTCCTAGGCGTCGTAGGGCCTTGGTGGTGTGTTTGTTATCCTCATTTCTTTACTCGACCATTCCCCAAACAATCCCAATCTGTAAGTGGTCGGAGTTGCTCATCATCAGCAGTAGCCATAGTCGTAGCAGGTAGCTGTTGGGTTGTAATTGGTGGTGATTTCAAAGATACTCGGGGTGGTAGTCTCACGAGCAGGTATTTCGCCTACTGCGACGCATCCAACCTCATAAAGGTCAAAAACCAGGTAGTTAAGGCCTTCTCTTTCCCCCCTCCCTCCCCCTTGGCCCTCCGATTCCTGTTCCTGGCCCCTCTGTCGTGCTCTAGCTCTAGGCTCTAGGCCTACACGCTGGTCCCCTCATTCCCTCTCACCGCTTGGTCCCGTCTCCTCCACCCACTACTACCGACGCCTGTCATTGGCACAGGCCAAGTCGTGTCGTGTCGTGCGTTCGTCGGTCCTTGCGTTTTTTGTCTGCACACCATCATCCCATCCCACACAACCACGAGAGCACCCATACCTCCTTAAACCGCACCAACTCTACACTCTTATACGCCTATAGTCCGGTGGTCGAAGTTGGGGGCTTGGTTCTTTCCGTGTTTTCTAGTCTTTAGTTTGTGTTTTCATCTTGATCCTTCATTGCTGTCACTCCCTCGATCCTCCCTACAATCCTCCTTGATTAGCCGCTCTGCTCGCAAGCCACTCAGCGATATTGGCAGTCAGCCCGTCACACGAGCAAGGCTGGCAATGAAAGGCTGTCCGATGAGGAGCGTGTCTCTCTGTTGAACGAACCCTTACAACGCAGCTCCAGAGGCACTCCTGGCCTGAAACACTCCTTCAGCAACTGTTATTGGAACTCTGCAAACGGGACACCAGCAGGCTGTTACGGAATATTTGTTGGATATCGAACTGAATACTTGACTACTTGGGTCCTCGGAACACAAATTGCTTGCCGACACCCGGGTGTAAGCCTGCAGCATTGGGAATACGTGCCATTCTATTCAACATACGAACACTTGTATCGCGTCATAGTACGCGATCCATTTCTCGCACAACTGCACGACGTTCGACCCCGTGTCTCTTGTCAGGGTTTCCCCCTCACAACCGTCGGAGTTCTATCTGTCATCGCAAAAGAGGTGGTACAAGGAGTCGACACATCCGACGGGGAACATAACAGGTCCCAGTGGTCTGGCGCCCGCTGCTGCCTTGTCCAACCGTGAGAACACAACCGGCTACCTGCAGTCGGCCCTGTGAATGACCTTTCAGGGAGCTGCAGATATGCCAAAAGCCCCGGCTTTACCCCATCTTAACTTGGCTCCTGACAACAATGAGGATTTTAATGGTCTGACCCCCGCGACGCTGAGCCCTCGCTCGACAGGCTCTCCTCATACTCCACGGTCAGCCCCGACCTCTCCATATCTGCAAGGCGCTGCGCCCTCTTTTATGTCGCACCAAGCGTCCGTGTCTCAAGACAGTCGAAACGATGGATCGCGTACAGGGCCCAGCTCTCCTCGGATAACAGCAATGCCTGAATTACCTGCTTCACCTGTTCCTCAATCGCCAAAACACGCCCGAGATCCATCCAAAGGTTTCTTTTCCAACTTGATGGCGTCGAAATCCTCCCACAAGCTGCACCCTTCGGAAACCAGTATTCCAGAGAACGGGGAGAAACCAAACGCAAGGAGCAGAGCTAGTTCAAAAGAAAGGTCTCTACATTCACTGAAGAAGCAAGGCTCGACTCCTGAATTGCCAAAGGCTGTGTCGAGCAATGGACCCAGCCATGATAACGAGGCTCCAGCCCCAGCGGAGATATTCCCTCCTCAAGCCACTGTCGAGCCTGCGCCAGCGGCCAAAAAGACCAAGTCTAAGTTCGGCGGCATACTCGCAAGGACCAAGACCGTAAGAATGGAGGAAACAGCGCCCAAACAGAAGCACCCGCCGCCAAATCATCTGCAACTCGACACCTCTAATTCGGCCAATGACCATGCAGACACGTCTCCAAGGACTGCGCCCATAAAATTCGACCACCGAGATAGGGCATTTGGTCCTGAAAGTGGCGCAACTGTTCGAAACCGCTCAGTAGATCGCCAAGCTCGTGATGACTTCCACTCTATGAAAAGAGATCGGCAGACTGGGAACATACCTGTGTCCCATTCCTTCCGAGACGGCTCCACCCTGCAGATTTTATCGAACCTCGGGCAAACTGGAAAAGGCGTGGGAGACCGCTTGGGCAAGGCTGGGAAGGGCTTTTTTGGCAAAATCACAAGAAGTGGGAGCAGCAACGAGCGCGAACCAGCAACAGTTACGGATGACAATTACGTATGCACGACAATCAACTTGCCACTTGTGAAGCAAACTCGGAAAACCAGGATAGCACGACGTTTGGAGTCTTCCAAGGATAAGACCGAGTTCTGGATGCCAGCCTTGCCATGGCGTTGCATTGAGTAGGTTGATCTTGCTGAATCTTCCGTTGCTCGTACTAACCAAGGGTGTGCAGCTACCTAAATATGAACGGTGCCGAAGAAGAGGGACTATATCGAATACCCGGCAGCAATAGGGACGTGAAACACTGGCAGCGGCGCTTTGACACTGAATATGACATCAACCTCTTTGACGAACCGGAACTGTATGATATAAACACGATTGGGTCTATGTTCAAGTCATGGCTACGGGAATTGCCGGATGAGATTCTTCCAAAATCTGTCCAAAACAAGATTGCCACGCAATGTGCCGGAGCGACTTCAGCGCCCCAGCTGTTGAAAGACGAACTGTCGCGTTTGCCGCCGTTCAACTACTACCTTTTATTCGCCATCACATGTCACCTAAGTCTTCTCAACAGCTATGCCGAGAAGAACAAGATGGACTATCGAAATTTATGCATCTGCTTTCAGCCTTGTCTGAAGATTGATGCCTTTTGTTTTCAATTTCTTGTCATGGACTGGAAGAATTGCTGGCAGGGCTGCTGGACTGAAAAGGAGTACCTGGAAGAAGAATATCGATACGAGCGGGAAGGATCGGTCAATGAAAGTGAGGACCTGGCCATTGATGAGAGAGCCATCTCTTCCAGTGGCAGCAGTCAGCAGCAGCAACAACCAACAGCTTCACAACCGCCTTCATCAAATGCTCAACAAGCGTCTGCACAACAGTCCGCCCCTCCTCGGAGCGCCGATGCCGCGGCACAGCGCAAGTCCATGGCGCCCAAAACAAAACAGAGAAGCCTGTCGCAGGGTGGAAGTGCCAGAGACAGATCTAACAGCGGGCACACCCCCAGTCAGTCAGTACCCGCGGTACCACGTATGACGACTCCAGAACCTCCCAAACTGTCGCTCGATCAAAGATTGCCCGAGCTCACGGGGCTCTCTCCTATCAGAATGTGATGTCTTCGGATATTTGTCGTCGGCCTGATGAGCTTTCAGACTAACATGCTTGCATGGTCGCATGTTAGGGGGGACTGCAACCTCCTCCTTTTCTTTTGATGCCTCACTTGGATACGCCTCCTTTGACGAATGTTTGGCATTGAAAAGCTTTAGGACATATCTTGTATTATCTATCATCTGATTTCTACTTAGCATTGCTTTTTCTTTGTGGTTGCGTTGTACCGTGGCTTTCTGGCTTCCGCTTCGAGACGCTGATGAAGATTCATGAGGAGAATGGTACAACCCAGGCAGGGACTGATACAGAGTGAAGCCCTGTTGTGTATGACTAGGCGAGTGTAAGATTTTGGACTGGACATGGCTCGAAGTGCGAAGGAGGTTGAGTAGGGGGAGACGAAGCGACTTTTGATACCATAGATTTGTGATGCCGTCGAGTCAAATGCAAACAGCAGTTGCAGAGAAACCTCGTATCAGATACTTCCAGAGCCCATCAATTGTGGTAGTGACTTTGACCATGATGGTGGCTCGGTTTTGTCCGCGCTCTTATCGATGTGACTCTTTGTAAACACATCCTCCTGCCACGCAGAGAGCCGCCCATGGCTTTTTGCTCCCCGCATTTGATCTTCACTCGTGCCACCGGCGCGATCTTGGGCTCGTGGCAGTGTAGATCTATGTCTCTGCAGCAGAGTGAGAGGCCACAGCGACATGTGTCACTTTGCGAGGTCAGTGGCCGCTTGACGGGGCCATTGACTGGCCGTGTTGCTGGTCGACGCACGCGCCCACTCAGGCCAGCTTTGGAGGTTTCTCGCTTGTAGTATAGCACTTGACACCACCGGCGGGTCTTGGGAGTTTCTCACGGTCAACCCGTCTTTCCACCCTTCCTCGTTCGACGCTCATTGTTTCTCTGCCGTCTCTCTTGCCTCTTGATCCTCTCCACCCGCTCCCGCCGCCCTTCGCCTCTGACCGTCCTGCCGTCGCCAGCATCGGCACCGGCCTTCTCTTTCTTGACGGCCTCATCGTCCAACTCGACAAGCCAGTCGGACTCGTCCTTCTTGTTCCGTCCCTTGTAGCCCCATTTCTTGACCCACTCGCCGCTCTCCTCGTCGTACACCAGGTTCTTGCGCCTCTCCTCCTGCGCGGCGCCGCCCTTCAGGTTGCCCCCGTACTTGCCGATGCCCTTTTTGCGAGCGAACAGCTCCCACTTCGTCGGCGGCTTCGGCTTCGGCAGCGGCTTCCACCGCGGCAGGTAGTGCTGTGGTGCCGGCAGGGTCATTATCAGACCCTCCGGGGTGGATTGGATCGGGCAGGTTGTGAGGAGCGTGTTGAGAAGGGATTGTGCGCCATCGCGGGCTATTTGTCTTAGTGTGTTGTTACGCTCCGAGAGGGTTTGAGAGAGGAGGTGGGAAGTGGCGGGGAGAGGGTTTGGGTCGATGGCGGTCAGGTAGCCCAAATCGTAGGTGTATGGCGTGGGCTTTTCAACGGTCGTCGGACTATGTGAGAGGAAATGTGTCAGGACGTATGAATCCACAGATTGTACAGTCTGTAGGATTGGAACACGGAGCGAGCGCAAGAATAACGTACAGTTTTTCTGATTTTGTTTGTGCCGGGTGCGAAACTGTTGACGACAAATGTGTTTCCGCTCCGCCCATGTTTGTGTCCATGGTTGTGTCCGTGGCCATATCTTTGTTTGCCAGATGTGAGTCTTTCTACTCCAACACTGAACTTATCCTTAAAAAAAAAGAAAGGGTAACCCAGATAATGGTGCTGGAGGGAAGAAATATAGACACCAACCCACAATAATGGTTTTCGTTTCTCCGCACCAGAAATTTTGACAAGGCTGAGCTAATCCTAGTTTGGTAGTAAGATTGTCACTTCTGCTTTTGTGCGGAGGACGGGGTTTCCATACGTATCCCTGGTCTGAGTGTCTGGGTGGCTCCATGTGGGCCCAGTGATTTGTTGAATACACCCTGGCACACACAGAGGTATAGAGGTTTGTATTCTGATATCTGCAATCGTCTCGATATGAACTCATTTTGCGAGATCCTTCGATTGTCTCACTAGTGAAAAGGAATTTTTACCGCAATTCAATCGTCGTAAGTGTGGTCTTGCACCTTCCACTATTACAGAGTTGTCGTATCGTTGGGTCAATATACGGGATGCCGACTCTTTCTACTTTCGGAAAGGGGTATATATATAATGTTCTTCAGGCCTATCCGAATCTGGATTTGAGGATGCCGAGTTTAGTCCTTTTTATTCACGATCACGCGAGTTGCCGACAGAGGTAAACTTTCCGTTACAAGGATTTGCTCTGTGGCTTTATCTCCTGGATGACAGACACCAATTGGGTCTCTCGAGGGAACTATCGACCGAAGGTCCTGGCTCATGCGTGTGTTGAGTCCTTGATCGTTCCGGTCTCTTGTAACCCCCAGCTCTTCCCTGACTGCGGAGGTGATCATCAAATGAGAGGAGAAACCCCTCCAAAATTCCAACGATGAGAAATATGGTTCGCGTCTCTTGGGGTTGTCCTTCGGGTTTCCTGCTATTGCAGGGTGGCCCGGCGCATAATAGGAGAGCACACACCAAGGTTTCTTGCCCCATAGGTTCCATTATTATCCTCGAACTCCCGAAACAAGATCGGAGCCCGTTATCACAGAGATGAATGTTGACACAATGCGGAGATGCGTGGCTGATGCTGCCGGTGCAGTCGTGCGCCTGGCATCACCAGATCTGTCCTACGTGAGGGCCGAATGGAGTAGCCTCATACTGTTCTATTCTAAATCCCCGAGCTGTGCGCATGCCCCAAAGCCACCTGGTTGCCCTGCAGCTGCTTCCACACATCCACCTCTCCTGCTCCCCAATGGGTTTGAACCATTATGCTAGCTTCCGACTCGCGAAGGCTGTGGCAGCTGGCCATGTAAGCTGAACATAATCGCCCCAGTTGCGTGGTTCGGAACCTCCCGTTGGACCTATCATATCAGAGAACACATATTATGGCTCACCACCCTCCCTTATAGGCAGCATTGTGGACTCCCAGCTTCCGATCAACTCATCTCAGCATCGTCTTCGGACATTTACTTCACCCAGGACCCGATGGGTTTCTGCGAGACGTGCAGATCTTCTCGGGCTGGCGTGGAAGGGCCAAAATGGTTCGCCATACTTTCTGGGCGACACATCGAGCGAAAGGCTCGCATAACAGCACAAGCACCTCTGGATATGCTCAAGCAATCTGACAGAACGAATGTAGGCAAATACTAAAATTTGTGCAATCCCTTTCAGAAGCACCTAGGCCCCGCGTTAATTGGTGTGTCTTGAGACAAACAACGCTTGTAACCCTTTCAAATCGCTCGTCTGGAATATACTGTTTGAACATAGACAACAGGACGGGGGGAAAATTCTGTTTCAGGCTCCCCCATTCCGCGTTCCTAACAATCCTCGTCCTCATCGTGGCCGCCGTCCTCGTCCTCATGGCCGCCATGACCACCAAGACCATCGTGACCGCCGTGACCACCATCGCCACCATCGTGGCCACCCTGCCCTCCTCCGTTCAAGCCCTGACCTTGACCCGGGACACCGCCCATGTCTTGAGCCTCGTGGCCGGCAGTCATGCCGACTTTCTTTGCAAGGCGAGCGAGCAGCAAAAGCCCGACGTGGACCATGCTCTCCAGGTGTGCTTCGTGGATAGGTTCCGCTATGATTTTCTCTCCCGTCAGTGCTTGAACCTGAAACACACAACACAGGAATATCTTAGAGGGGTGGGCTGGGGAAGCAATAGAGAGAGGGAAGACACCCACAAGCAATCTTGTCCAAGAGCTGCATCGACTCGGCGTGGTGAGGATCCTGAGCGAATCTCGAATGCGCGTGCTGCGGCTTGGGGACGTGCGAAGGCCCCGGCTGCGGGTCCATGACCAGTTTGACCACGAGCTGCACCAAGGATGCCATGTCGCCATCCTGTCCCCCCTCCATCCCGCTCATGTCCCCACCCATGCCTTGGCCGTCGCCGCCATGATGGTCTTCGTAGTCATAGCCCTCGTCGCCTTCACCACCTTCGTGCCCGTAGCTGTCGTCCTGGCCGTGCATATTTTTCTTTTTTATCTCTGCGAGTGGCGGAAAATTAAAGGCGTAAAAATTGAGTTTCTCTGTGTGACCGAGAAGCCAGGCAATATGTATGAAGCAGAAAATGAGCGCTTTACCACAGATCACGATGCGTTAGCCTGGAGGATATGCAAGATTGAGCACCGATCACTTTTGTCGATGCAGGAGATGATCTTTTATATGCAGACCTCATACTCGATCTGTATGTATGATTTTGGGTATGTAGGCCCCAGATCTAAAAATGACTCGCGTTTCAATTTAGGAATCAACCAGGCACACAGCTGAACCTCACACCTGCCCCCCCTCTCCTTCTCCCGAGTCAGTGGAGATCAAGACGGCGAAACAATACGGCCGTTGTATACATACCGCGTCCAAAAGGGCCCGAATGGGCTGGCTGCATTGGATACGGATTAGGCTAATGTACCTGCTCGATGCGGATATAGAGTTATTTTTACCCCAGAGATACAAGTGCTTATGTTGGTTAAGGTTATTATTCTTAGTCATTTTTGCTGCTATCGCCCAGTTCGCCATCAAACTACCCACTCGTGCCACTCTATCATGCTGCAGGTTAGCGCCTTAGGCGCACTCTTCGCAACGATCTCAACGTCATTTCGGAGGGCAGTGTCCCATCCCGATCCTGGTTGCGGCACCGAGGAGAGCTCTTTTGTTCACGGTCAAATCTGTACAATCAAACCGATCAGCAGGGGTATCCGAGGCACAGTCAGCTTATCGCCGCATATCCCCCAAATGCATCAATACCTGGCCTTGTGCCCGGTGCGCATAGCTCGACAGTCTCTTGTTCCAAACTTGGGTCCATTAACTATAGCAATAGTCTCCAATATAGGTCATTGACTGGTCCGATAAATTGCTGGGACCTGCTCTGGCGAGTTACTGGTCATATCAGACATTTGCAATCACCAGCATACCTCACAGACTGTTCCAATACTGCTTCCCTCTGCAGTGCACATTTACCGACCTTGATATCGCCCTTGCATACAAAAAGATGGCCGCTGCAGCAGCTGATCTAGCTGCGGACGCGGTGCAAGCCGGTGTCTCTCTTTTCGGCGCCATCTTCAACTCAGGCGCGGATAAGGACTATCGAAGTGCCTGGACACAGGTTCAAATTGGAGACATGTCGTCGAAGAACCCGGGCAAGAATGTCATGTGTGTCTTCACAAAGCACGATGCATCCGGCCTCGTCAACAGCACAATGACAATTCGGGAATGTACCTGCCCCAACAGCGGATCAGTCTTGACATATTCTTGTTACGTCTTTGATTCAGGGCCATTTGTGTTGCAAGGAGACGGGTAAGTGCTGTTATAGACGAGTTCTCAACCAGGGACAGACTCAACTGACGTCTTTTGCAGAGGATACCTCAACTGGTGTTTTGCCGGCAATTTTACAAGAAACGGTGGCAACGTGGGTGCAACGGAGATACTGAACAGGAAAATGGCTAACACAGATGATCTAGGTGACTTTCAATCCTTTGAGTTGAAGTCAGGGCATGATATCCAATACTTTCAGAAATCAATTTCAAACCCTGTTCGCTTCAGCTCGGTGGTGCACATGTGTGTATGGTTGTGTAGTTCATTAGCAAGCCCCGCCGGCCATTGAGGAATGAAGTCAATTCCAGTGTTGTTTTTTTGCCATTTTTGGTCATATCGAGAGGAATGCCTTGTAGTGCCAGGTGTTTTGTTCAAGGCACAACTGGCGAGGGTGCCATCGTCTTTGATTAGAAGTTCGCTGGTGGACGCGACAATCAATATATTTCAAACGAGATGGTGTGGCTGTTTCTGCTTGAGCATGGTGGAGGTATCAAGAGAATAATATATGGCCGGACCCTGTCGGTCCTCGTCTAGAGGTGAAGTCGGGCAGGCCAAACCAGTTATACAGCCTGAGACTGTCCGCTGTATATTAAGAGTCCTCGAGGTGGCTGTCACATGATCAGGCGAATATAAGATTGAAGGGTCCCGTAAAAATTCGCCTTCGTCCACGCTCCTGCGGTAGTAGACTCCAACAAGAGGGTTTGCCTCTTCGATTCAAATAAGGTTGGGAACAGTTTAGACTAGAGCTCACTGCAGTTGGTGCCTCGTTGGATAAAGGCATGGGAAAGACGCTATGTGACGACATGGAACCAAAGAACCCTTCTTCCTGAGCGCAGTGCCATAACTGGCAATTTGATACCTGGTGTAGTCAAATTTGTGCGAATTACATCTGTGGAACGTGTTGGTACAAACCCTCTGTTGAGAAGTTTGAGAAGTTTGTCATGTTTGTCCAGGGAAGAGGAATATAGGGGCAGGTGGGCAGCAGCCTTGGGATTCCGAGGGGCATGCCAAGCCTGCCAAGTCACCTGATCCTTTGTTTACGTACCGACTCTGTTCCGGCAACCAAGCGGGCCTCGTGCTGAACTTGTTGGTGAGTAGCACCAGTGGTTTGCACCAAATCTTCGGCTCTGCGAGATTGTCGATCGAAAGTCTCAATCACTTCCACCTCCACCAAACAAACGCCCTGTGCTCGCTGCCCCTTCTAACACAGACCATCTGCGGTCACCCTCACACATCCTTCCCTCCATGTCATCGGCCATGTCTGGGGTTAGCGGTACATATCGAGGCACACCTACGCCCAACCGTCGTGGTCCACTCCCATTTGCAGACTCCCCTTCCGCGATTCCTCGTCCCAAGTTAGATTCTTCCAGTAACGCCGCGCCCAGCGAGATGTCGGGCACCTCTACCGTGTCGGCAAGCCGACAGAAGCAGAGCAAGAGAGACGAGGTGCGTTATCACGTCCTGAACCTATCCAAGCCAGCCCTGTGCCTAACATGCATGGCTTTTACTTCTAGGCAATTCGACGCAAGATGGAAGCCGATCTCAGCAAGAAGAAGCATGCCCCTTCCCGCGCTCGACATACTCGCAAGGCACCACCGGGAACCGTCCTGGCCCTCAAACCCAGTCAGGCCCTACAGATCAAGCCCTCCACCACCGTCGCCGAGGCTGCTCAGCTCATGGCTGCCAAGAGAGAAGACTGCGTTCTAGTTACAGATGACGACGATAGAATCGCGGGTATATTCACAGCGAAGGATCTGGCCTTCCGTGTTGTGGGCGCCGGAATCAAGGCTAGCCAGGTTACAATTGAGCAGATCATGACCAAGAACCCGCTCTGTGCGAGGACTGACACAAGTGCCACCGATGCCCTAGACCTGATGGTCCGAAAAGGATTCCGACATTTGCCCGTCATGGACGAGAATCAAGACATTTCGGGCATTCTCGATATCACGAAATGTTTCTACGAGGCTATGGAAAAGCTGGAACGTGCATACAGCTCATCGCGCAAGCTGTACGATGCACTCGAAGGTGTACAATCTGAACTTGGCTCCAGTCAACCCCAACAGATTATCCAATACGTCGAGGCTTTGAGACTAAAGATGTCGGGACCTACCTTGGAATCTGTGCTCAACGGGCTCCCTCCCACCACCGTCTCGGTTAGGACGTCTGTAAAAGAGGCGGCGCAGCTCATGAAGGAAAATCACACAACCGCCGTGCTGGTGCAAGATCAGGGGTCTATCACCGGCATTTTCACTAGTAAAGATGTTGTACTCCGTGTCATTGCCCCTGGGCTTGATCCCTCAAACTGCAGTGTGGTAAGGGTGATGACCCCTCACCCAGATTTCGCGCCCACGGATATGAGCATTCAGGCTGCTCTGCGCAAGATGCATGGTAAGTCCTATTCATATCGGACTGGGTAAAAGTGCTCATAGTCACAGATGGTCATTACCTCAATCTCCCGGTCATGAATGGCGAGGGCGAAATCGTCGGCATGGTCGACGTCCTCAAATTAACCTATGCCACTCTTGAACAAATCAACACTATGAATTCTGGGGAAGCAGAGGGACCAGCATGGAACAAGTTCTGGCTATCAATGGACAATGATACTGAATCAATCATGTCCGGCGAGGGAAGCCATCGCCCAACCACACCTGGCCATCGCTCGATGATGGACTCGGAGGCTGGCCGACCTGCTTTCGAAAGAGGTGATAGCGTCATGCCACACGACTCCGCGTCGCACCGAGGAGATGATGTCCACTCTGAGGTACTTCCATCTGTCGAGTCGCCGGAAGAAACACCTTTTCCGTTCAAGTTTAAAGCCCCCAGCGGACGAGTTCATCGAATACAAGTTCTCGCTAGTACCGGGCTTACCGAACTGGTCAACCAAGTAACCGCAAAATTGGGCGGTGAAGTGGACTCTGTGGGCGGCGAAGCCACTGTCGAGGAAGGTAAATTGGGGAAAGCAGGTTATGCATTGAGCTACCTGGACAATGAGGGCGACACCGTCTCCATCACTACGGATCAAGACCTGCTAGATGCAATTCTGCTGGCGAGGCAGGGAAAGAGAGATAAAGTTGACTTGTTCGTCCATGACCCCACACAGCCGCCAATTGCTACGACTATCGATCCAAGACCTCAGCTTTCGAAACCACCAACGCCTCCTGAGTCCATCCTCAAGGAGGTGGCAATAGACGCCGCGGAAGAGGGCGACGAAGACGAGGAAGATGTTGTTCCCATTGCAAAAACGATCCGGTCGAGACGAGCGCCACCAGCGATGCAACAAAGGAAGGAAGAACAACCGCAGGTCATTGCCGGTGTGCCGAATGATCTGCTTCTTCCTGGAGCCATTGTCACGCTTGCGGTTGTTATTGTTGGTGTTTTTGCTGTCGCCCGCGCGACGGCAAAGTAAGAATGATACCCCATGACTCCAATGCTGTCGTTACAGGTGCCTGTTTCTGGCTGTTCAGATTTTTGACCTTGTGGTCGGGAGGCGTTTCTCTCTCTCAGGACAGGAACGTTTTACTTGAATCCGATGCTGCTTTAACAGCAGGTTTGACGAGGCAACATAGACTACTTACCTACTTATCTAGTTCCTATACCAGTGTCTCTATACGTTCGGCTTGTCTTCTTCTCCCACCTGGGTGCCTGTACAGTTGTCGTTCAGGGGGCTAAGCGCGCGAGAGAAGCCCGCCTGCTGAGACGTTCGGATGCGTTTGGGAAAGGGGAAGAGAGGAAAGGGAAGGGGATGTGAGCGTGTATATATACAGAGCACCGCACGAATCTTTACTCTCCAGAAGCCAAGAACTTGGTATCCTAATGAGGCCCGACTCTTGCTACTGCTTCTGATCCTGCTTCTGATCTTGCTCCTGCTCTGTGTAAACCATGCATGCCTGCGTGTCTGCTGGGCTGTTACTTTCTCTTTCTTTTTCTCATCATATCCCAGTTTTGTTTTTGGGCCTCCAGGTTCCCCCCCTTCCTCACTACTTACCTTCCTTCGATGTGCGTTGTCAATACGACGTATTTTGTTCGTATGTATATGTTGTGTATTCGTGTTGGTGTGAGACGGACGAATGAGGGTGGACAAACACATTACCTTACCTAAAGGTAGTGAGTGGTCCCTCGTGCCGTGGATCTCACTTGCATACTAGGTAGCTTGTATGGAGTACCCGCTCGTACATGGCGAAGTGGCCAGGCACCCAGGCCATGCGGTCCCAGAAATCCATCCCACTGCTCACTCGTACGGAGGACTCGCCATCCATCTATGAGGCTGTACCTGAAAGTGAAGTCCACACTGCGTTCCGTTCTACTCGGCCTGGCCTGGTCTGATCTAGTAGGGTTCAGCTACTCGCAGGTCTTCGGGGTGGCTGTGCTGACGGTATACACACATACAGACCTCGGGATACACCCCCATCCACGGCCCACAGCCCACACGTCCGTCCATCCACATGCGGTATATCAGAGTATACATATTCGGTAAGACCAAAGTCACCGTCCCTTGCGTCCCCATAGCATAAGATAAGCAAGGACCTGTTCGTTTCGGCCCTGATATCAAAAACAAAAGCAACCAAAATGTCATGCTCACGTCGTTGCTTATGTAACTTTATCTACATCAAGCTCGTCCGGCCCCCGACTTCCCTGCCGCCTTGACCGGAGGGCATCTCGCCGTTTCGCCCGACCACAAACTCCTGATAGATGGCGGCCAACCGTCGCCTCTCCTCGGGACTGATGGAGCTGCGTGTCGTCGCCAGTGACTTCTCCATGTGTCGCCACTCAATCACCACCTCGTCCTTGCGGGATCCATTGGCCTCGGCGCCGTCGGCGTCTCCGTCCGCCGTGCCGTCGTAGATACCACTAGCTCCTCCACCCGAGCCTCCTAGGTCGTGGGAAGGTGCCCGGCGTGCGAAGCTGCTCTTCAGAGCCGCCTTTTCACGCTTCCGCGCCAATTTCAATTCGTCAATCTTCGAGGCAATGGCCGCTTTCGACTCCATGGTCGAGGCCCCCGTGCCCAGTGACTTCCTTGCCAGGGCGTCTTCCTCGGCCGAATACAGAAAGTGGAAGAAATCGTGCTTCCCTTGTGTGCTGTGGTGTTTGCGGCGCTTCCCACCCCCGCCTGAGCTGCTGCCACCGCTGCTGTTGTTGGTACCGTTGACCAGTTCCCGACCCTTTTCCCGGTCGGATGGCTTGTCGCCTAACAAGTCGTGGATGGCCTCGAGATGGGCGTTGTACATGAGCGCCTGAAGGTCTGCGCCACTGAAGCCTTCGGTGCGCTGTGCAACGCTGAGTAGTCGATTCTGTACCTCGGGCTTCAACCGTAGTTTCGCGCTGACCGCCGTCAAAATATCCAGTCGATCATTCATATCTGGCATGTCGCACAACAGACTCTTGTCCAGCCGTCCTGGTCTGAGAAGCGCCGGGTCAATCAGGTCTGGCCTGCTGGTGGCCGCCAGCACGTAGACTCCCTCAAGTCCTTCGGCACCATCCATCTGCGTAAGCATCTGATTGACCACTCGATCTGTCACGCCCGTGGAGTCGTGTCCTCGTTTCGGCGCAATGCTGTCAAATTCGTCAAAGAACAAGACGCATGGCTTCGCAGCCTGGGCGCGCTCGAATAGATCTCGAACCGACTTTTCAGAGGCACCGATATACTTGTTTAAGATTTCCGGGCCTTTGACAGAGATGAAGTTGAGGTTGCACTCACCCGCCACGGCAGAGGCGAGAAGTGTCTTCCCACAGCCGGGGTACCCGTAGAGCAATAGCCCTGAGCGGAGACGGAGAGGAGATCGCGCAAAGATAGGTGCGTATTTTGTTGGATAAAGGAGTGTCTCGAGGAGGGTGTTACGGGTGTCGTGCAGACCGCCGATCGAGGAGAATGTGGTGGTCGAGTGGGTCAACGTCACGTTGCGGAGGGAAGAAGGCGTGAAGTTCTTTAATGCCGCGTCAAAGTCACCCTTCGTCAAGGTCGGTGGTGCATCTGAGTCGTCATTTTCTGATATCATACGGGTGAGAGTTTCATTTCGGGCGCGAGCCAGGAGAAGGACGAGGTCAGCGGGCATGTAGCCATCAGTTTTCCCGGCGACATCGAGCAAGTCGAGACTGGGTGCAACGCGGAATCCCTCAGCCGGTGGTGACGAAGCAGAAGACGTCGGCCTTGAGGATGGGTTTGATGGATCCATCCAGGAAGTCTCTGACATGCTTTGAGTATCACTTTGGTTGCGGTTGTGGCCCCGGTTATTGAGCTGCCATCCATCATTTGTGAGAGACACAAGAATGTCTCGACGGATTTCCTTTGTAGGAGCCTTGATGGAGACTATATCACCTACTATGTGGCCTCCAATCATGATGCTGTTGAGCGAGTCCTTGGATTGTGCGGTGGCCAACATAGTAACGCCAGAATGAATGCTGCAGTATTGGCGTACAATAGCACAAAGAACCTCGGTGATCTGGCGACTGCGGCCGTTGTCGTTGCCGACCTCGAGTTCAGTCTCAGCAGGACAAATCTTATCCAGGTCGTCCAGCACGACAACTGACTGTCCGCCCAAGCGTGCACACCAGGACGCTGACATGAACAGCCTCGTAAGAGTCTCCTTCACTGTCGAGACCCTGGTTTCGTCCGTCACCAGTTTCTGGCAATCAAAGTACGTCACATTGAAAACGTAGTCCTCCCTAAGCCGCTGTGAGATGCAATGTGCGAGTGAAGTCTTGCCTGACCCGACTCCACCGGTCAACAGCACAGAAGAGCATAGGGTTAAATTTGAAAGGCATTGCCTAATGATCCCGTCGACACCTATCAAAGTGGGAAGTTTGGAAGGTATTCCGTGGGCGAAGGTGGGAAACATGGTCGTCAGCTCCAGAGGCCGGGGCACTTCGGCCTTGATTTCAAATTCATGGTCTTGCTCTTGTCCCAGCACCCATAAACACGAATTATCATGATCTTCTTCGACCTCGGCAGGGCGACGAAATCTCAGAATCCCGCCATCAAATGATGCTGCAGAGGAGGAATCTCCAGAGGGTGGAAGGACCATTCCGTCAGTGATTGGCCCAGATAGCAGTCCTTCATCTCCAGCAAATGTTAGTCGGATCTTGTCGGCCAGCGCTTGTTTAGCTGCTTTCGAATCTCCGCCAAATTGGAGGCCGTCTTTCTTTTTCGAATTCACGGGCAGAAACGGATAGAATTGAAACCTTTTGATAGAGTAACGGGGTAAGGGTGGCCCAGTAGCCTGGACCCGGACAATGAGTCCGACCATCCCTCCTGCACCAAGCATCTGGCAAAGCGAAGTCGACAGGACTGCGTGATTGCCATCGATTGGGGTGGACCAGGGAAGGATCTGGGCCACAATTTTAGAAGCCGGCCTTCCAACTTCGCTGTTCTCTTCTTCCTTGAGTCGGTTGACCTGGCTACTGTCCAACTGAGCCCTCATACCGGCCGGTTTTATAATAGTGATGTTTGCCCATGTAGCGGCTCTGAGGCTTTCAGATGCAATCATTTCGTTACTGAGCCAGATGCAGAGCTTGTCATCGTTTTGGGATATGCTCTGGTCTTCATCGAAAAAGCTGCCTGCCATTGCTCGGTCGATTGCGCGCATGAATAATGCAGGTCTCACGGGACCTGTTCTGTTCCGGGCGTTGCTGACACCACTTTTGCCGCTTCGCCTGCTTGCCGTGCTCCTCGCATCTCGCCTGTCACTCCTGGTAGATTTGGGCCGGGTCTTGGGGGCAACAATGACTTCTGCATCCGGAGCTATTTTCGCAAACGGGATGGTGTTTGGAACAGGCGGTACCAGGGAGGTAACGATAATATTTGCGGTTGACGTTGGTGATAAGTGTAGAGTTAAGGGATGGGTATGTTCCGCTTGAACGGTAGTTTTACTGCTGTATGCGGGATTGGGTAGTGCACGAATCTGAGATAGAAGGTTTAACTCCAGGAAAGTGGCATGCAGTTCAATAACTTCCCAGTCTGCAGGTGTCAATGGCTCGATGTTGATGCTATGAGCGACAGGCGGGTCAAGATGAACCAAAATGCCAATCTTCTGGCCTTCTGAGAGTCCGAGCAACTTTGCAAACGTCGCATCAATCTCAACGGTTTGAACATCCTGTTCCCTGCTCCCCGGCCGCGCCCGATCGTTATTCAGAAGCGACGCTGGTCGTGTCCGGCTAGGCATGCCAGTCCAACCAACATAAGCAGATCGTTGAAAGCCAGCAGTATTGCCACTGGAGACGGCGCCAGAGGAAAGAGTCTGGGACCGGTATTGCAGTTCGACAACAACATTTTGAGCTGGCTGGGACAAATGTGAGCAGAGAGAATCTGGGCGTTCCAAGAGGATAGCTTACGATATTGGTATTGCTGATCAACGCAATCAGTCCCGGGGGTAGATTGACGAGGCAATTCTGGAGGGATACCAGCGCTACCTCAGCGCGTACAGGAGGAGGCATTTTCTCGGATTGCCGTCAAAGCTAAGCAGAAGTTTGTAGGTCCAACCAATCAGGGGAGCAACGTTGCAGGTCAGTAGAGACAGACTCTGAAGGACATGAACAGCGGAGATCGGCTTCGGGTGAGGGAGTGGAGATATGAACAAGAAGCCTTGGTGGTTTAGAAACGTGTTATGGCGATATAGAAAATCAATGAATGAAGCTGGGATGTTGGCGAGATAGCCTTCCGAAGACACGGAGGCCATCGCCACTACTGATCAAGCCTCGGCAAGGAGAAGCGGACTGTCTGACAGAAGTTATTTTCAGTCAGCAATTTAGAATTCGTCCTTTGAATCCTGTCTGACAGTATAAATTACTTCTATTGGCCCATTGGACTGCAACAAGGCCAAAGTGGCCTGGCACCTGGTTTATCCTATGCTCTGCAGTAGCACTTAACGCGCGACGCGACGCGCTCTGCAGACTGCAATGCAGCTTTGCCCCAACCCCCCCTTGTCGATTGTTAATTGCTCAACTCGCTCCAACACCAACTTCCTCTGTATTTTTGACCGTCGCACGCAACAATGGCGCTCCTGCAGCATAAAGCGATTGCTGACTACGAGAAGCAACTCGATGCCTTCCAAACCTTTCTAGAGAAATTCGAAACCTCCAAGACGTCCTCAGATTCAGCTACTGAAGCAATCAATAACCTGAACCTCGATGGCGACCACACAAGCGACGAGTATGATTTTATGGACGACCTTGCAGACGAAGATGACAGCCGGACCAGGAGGCGACCCAAAAGGAAGTACATGGAAATGCTCCAAGAGGTTGCAGACCGTGAGCGACAAAACATTGTGATAGAGCTGGACGATTTGAAAGAGGTGCGCTTTGGGTGGAATCAGTGATGACCTGCCGCTGACAGCCATCCAGTTTGAAGAGTCTTTGAGTGACGAGATCAACCTGAGACTGGTTGAGTCTGTTACAAACAATACCAAGCACTACGTTGATTTATTTGCGGACGCGGTGGACAAGATAATGCCCAAGCCAAGCAAAGAGATATCGTACGACAGTTGCCTCGCTTTTTTGATACTATTATCTAATACGCGGCTAGATTCAAGGACGATGTTCTCGACATCATCATGGCGCAGAGAGCCAAACGGAACGAGACTGTGGCGTCTGTCGCCGAAGCAGATGCAGAAGCTGCCATCCCAGTGTCTACATTTCCGCCAGAACTGACCAGAAGGTACACCTTGAACTTCAAGCCTGTAACGCCTACAGGTGCCGATGTCACGAAAAAGACGCTGGCCGTGCGACAAGTACGGGGGGAACACCTGGGTCACTTGATCACTGTGCGCGGCATCACCACGCGAGTATCGGATGTTAAGCCCAGCATACGAATTCAAGCTTACACCTGTGATCGTTGCGGCTCAGAAATCTTTCAGCCGGTATATTCCAAACAATTCACCCCCTTGCAAATGTGCCCGTCAGAGGAATGCAAGCAGAACGACTCCAAGGGTCAGCTATTCCCATCAACCCGCGCCTCCAAATTCCTACCATTCCAGGAGGTCAAAATCCAAGAGATGGCAGACCAGGTTCCTGTTGGTCACATCCCAAGGACGCTGACTATCCACTGCAATGGAAGTCTAGCGCGACAGCTAAATCCTGGCGATGTTGTTGACATTGATGGCATTTTCCTGCCCACTCCATACACCGGGTTCCGAGCTATTCGGGCTGGTCTGTTGACGGATACCTATCTTGAAGCACAGCATATCACACAACACAAAAAGGCTTATCAAGATTTGAAGACGGATCCGCGTATTATCCGAAAGATCGAATCCTACAAAGCGTCTGGACACATGTACGAATACCTCGCTCGTTCCATTGCGCCAGAAATCTACGGGCATCTTGATGTTAAGAAGGCACTCCTTCTTCTCCTCATTGGCGGCGTGACCAAGGAAATGGGTGACGGAATGCGCATCCGTGGAGATATCAATGTCTGCTTGATGGGTGACCCTGGTGTGGCCAAGTCGCAGTTACTCAAATACATCACCAAAGTCGCCCCCCGAGGCGTATATACGACGGGTCGTGGATCCAGTGGTGTCGGTTTGACCGCTGCGGTGATGCGCGACCCTGTCACCGACGAGATGGTTCTGGAAGGTGGTGCACTCGTCCTAGCAGATAATGGGATCTGCTGTATCGACGAATTCGACAAGATGGACGACGGAGACAGGACTGCCATCCACGAAGTCATGGAACAACAGACTATCTCGATCAGCAAGGCCGGCATCACTACCACCCTCAACGCACGAACGTCGATCCTGGCAGCAGCTAACCCGCTCTATGGCCGGTATAACCCTCGGATCTCGCCTGTGGACAACATCAACCTCCCTGCTGCCCTACTTTCTCGATTTGACATTCTTTTCCTGATCCTCGACACACCTTCCCGGGAAGCAGATGAGGAACTCGCTCAGCACGTCTGCCACGTGCACATGCACAATCGGCACCCGGAACGCGAAGGGGAAGGTGTAGTCTTCTCTCCTCACGAAGTCAGACAGTATATCGCCCAGGCACGGACATTCAGACCCAATGTACCGAAGTCCGTGAGTGATTATATGGTGGGTGCATATGTTCGCATGCGACAACAACAAAAGCGTGATGAAGGGTCTAAGAAGCAATTTACCCACACGTCGCCACGTACTCTACTGGGCGTCTTGCGCTTGTCACAGGCACTGGCTCGGCTGAGGTTTAGCAACGAGGTGGTGAATGAGGACGTTGACGAAGCACTACGTCTGATCGAGGTGTCCAAGGCCAGTTTGTACACTGATCAGCGCTCGCACGGCGATCAGACTGTGAGCTCCAAGATATACGACCTGATTCGCGGTATTAGGGAATCGGGAGCGGCAAGTGTTGGTCGGGGTGCGAGGGGAGAGCTGAATCTCGGGCGAGTCAGGGAGCTGGTTACTGCGAAAGGATTTACGAGTGATCAATTCGTCCGAACTCTGGAGGAGTACGAATTGTTGGATGTAAGTGAACTCGATTCCCGTCATATTTTTCTGGTTACTAACTTAAGGATTCTAGGTCTGGCAAATTGCCAATAATGGAACTCGGCTGGTATGGATCGAAGCCGGGGACAGCGACGAAGATAACGACGAGGACATGGGTGATGCAGACGACGACTGAGTGGAACAGGATAGATCGTGTTGGTCAGCTCCGTCTTGTCGACTCTCCATTTACAGTTACTCGAATACGTGTATGGCTTGTTGTGTTCTGTTTTCGCTTCGCAACAGATACAGGGTGGGCTTTGCAACTGGCAAGATCTGGACTTGCAGCTTGGATTGGATATAGTGGTTTGGTGATTGAAAGAATGATTCAAGGACGACAAAAAGCAGCATCTATCTTCCATTCTGCCCTTGAGTCCTGCTCCGCTGACTTTTAGATCCCAAAGACTCCTCATCCTGTCGTCTCGGGCCCTCTTTTCTCATTCCTGTTTTGGTGTTGTATCTTAGTATCCGGTGGCTTCTAAACCCGCGCAACCTTCCTCAGCTTCAACCTCGGTCATAATTGATTTCGATCCTTCTCCATCCTTCCCCCCAATCTCAAACCTCTTGGCCTCTCATATACCAACGACCCTCCCATCCTCCGGCCCGCCCAATTGTTATCCCTGCTCACACGTTGTGTCCGTTGCGCAGTACTCTTTAGGTATAGCTTCGAGTATCCTTTCCCCACCTGGAGTTCGTTTCGTGGTTTACCGAGGTTTTTGGAGGGGGAACAAGGGGGGTCGTTTTGGAGCGTGCCACCAAACTTGCCCCTCCTTTGGCGAAGACTTTCCATGGGGATTGATCTCCGACATTTCTGACGCGCGTGGTGAAATGGAACTCGGTTCTGAGGTCCCAAGGGGAAAGCACAGCTCAGCTTTACGAGCATCTGATATGCTGGGGACCTCTTTCCGATTACCTTATAAAAAGAGTTGCAGAGTCCCCCCGCGCTGACTCGAGCGAGTCGTACTTAACCGTGTGACCCTTTACTTCTCGTCCTGATACATACTCCCTTTCCCAGCTTTCCTGATCCCTCTCGAATACGGAATACTCCATTCTAGCTCTTTTGTTCCCAAGATGGCAGACTACACTAACCTTCCAGACTTCGACTCCCTCCCCAAGGTTGAGGGCATGCCCCACGGGTGTGCATGGGGCCTCTTCGACAAGGACGGCAAGAAGGACCACCTTGGTTGCATAAACCTCCTGACCCCGAAAGTCGTACAGGAGGCTTTCAAGGAGGCTCGCGACGGCGTCTCGGTATCGCTCAACTGGCCCATCGGCGCTATTCAGAAGCCGGGCTTTGGACGAAAGGGCTTGGTGCACAAGGTCTTCTCTTTCAAAGACAGCCCTCTTCACCTCTCGGGCTTCGATGACGAGGTCGAGTTCAATACGCAATGTTCTTCGCAATGGGACAGTCTGGTACATTTCAGCCATCAACCCACCGGCCTCGGCTACAATGGCGCCGATCTGCAGAAGGAGCAGCTGATTCAGGATTTCGGCCACGTCGACCTTGAGAAGGCTTTTCCCACGTTAAACCACTGGCACGACCGTGGCGGCTTGGTGGGACGGGGAGTCCTCCTCGACTATCGTGCCTACGCTGAAGCCAAGGGCATCAAGTATAGCTGCTTTGAAGCGCACGCCATCTCGGTGCAGGATCTCGAGGCCGTGGCCGCTCACCAGGGCACGAAATTCAAGCACGGCGATATCTTGATTGTTCGCTCCGGCTTCACAGAAGACCTAGGGGCTGCTAGTGCCGAAGAGCAGGAACGCATGCTAGGCACTCACAAGTCAGTCGGCGTCAAAGGCTGCAAAGAGTCGGCCAAGTGGGTATGGAATCACCACTTTGCTGCTGTTGCGGGAGACGCGATTGCGTTTGAGGTGCTCCCTCCTACGCTCGAGGACGAAGGCAACCGGGTGGGCACGACTGCAGACCTTGGTAAGCTCCTTTTCCCTCTGTCTTCTCGCTATACCACCCAAAGTTGACCCAGTGGGACGCTCTGTCTCATTTGCCCTTGGTTCAATCCGCCTACGAAGTCTGCTTTTTGGCTAACAACCCCTTGCGCTCTCCAGTTCTCCATCAATACTTCCTCTCTCTCTTTGGCCTCAACATCGGCGAACTGTGGGATCTGAAGGCCCTCGGCGAGCACTGCAAGAAAGTCGGCCGCTACGAGTTCCTCTTGACAAGTATCCCATTGAACGTGCCCGGCGGAGTCGGCAGCCCACCGAACGCCCTCGCAATTTTCTAGGCCATTGACAGACGGCCCAAGGGTACTCTGGACCAGACTGAAAGAGGAAGAAGAAAAGAAGCAGGACGAATACAAGGGAGTGAAACAGACACCATTGAAGAGAGGGACTAAGGAACCCTGAACGGCCGGCTGGGTTGCCTAGACGCAGACGCAAGCGTGGCAGGCTGCTGCTCTCTCGGGCCTGAGAAGAGGAGAGGAAAGAAGGAGGAGGAGGAGACTTGCATATATCAGATATTCTGTGCCTACCTACCCACCTACATACCTATCTTCTGGACGCAACTACTGCTCTTCCTCCTTGTGTCTGACCCTCAATTGCGATTACTTCATTGCCCACCTCCGTCAGAACCTCGGACATCACTCCAACAGGCCGGTAACGGTCTTGATATCTTCTTTGGTCCCTAGAGTAAATGATCCCGATTCGAATCTTGCCGTCCTCTAGACTCTCGACTCTAGATATCTCGCCTCATGAGTGAGCAGCGTGTGTGGGGTCATGTTACGGTAGGACACAAGATTGATAGCTGTATCCGTATCCGTATCATACATACATATATACATATATACGTACCTAATTATACAGATGTAGTTCTCCGGTGCATGCCCTGTTCCGGTCTGAACGAGTCAGCTCGGCTATACTGTCTGGAACGCACTCTCGGTCTGACATCTCTCTTCGAAGGTATGAGGACGAGACTAAGAGTTATTGTAGATCGGCTGCTTTCTAGCGATCCTCTGGTATACAGTAAATACAACAAATTCGATTTACCCTCTCAGAACCCTTTCTCTTTTCTGTTCTACATGCAATTTCACCATCACAAATGACCAGAGCGATCGAGTAAGCTCGCCGCATTTAAGCAATCACCCGTCTACTCAACTTCGCCAACTCACCCACGACGCCGCCTGCGCTCAAACCTCTCATCTCACTCACCAAACCGTCTGTGATGCGTCGGTGCAAAAGCCCACTCTTTGCGAAATATTCCAGGTAACCCTTCGATTCCAGATTATTCAAGCCTTTCAGCTCCAGCAGATTCAAATCTCCACGGGTAGCTGGTCCAGAGAGAGCCAAAACTCGCGGGTCGGGTTTGCTGTAGGGCTTTGGCAGGGGGAAATCTGGGTGCGCGGGAGAGATAGAGTGCTCTTGGAAGGCCCGCATCTGAGAAAGGATGAGCTTGAAAGTCGGGCACGCGGGAGTATTTGAGCCCGAGGTGCTGAAGAGGACCATGCCACCATTGATAAAAGGCAACGTATTCCCCGTGTTGCCTGTGAACAAGAGATTGACGAATTGCTTCACCAACATGAATCGGTGCGCATGCAGGATTTTGTGGTCGCTATCGCGGTATGCCGTGGGTCCCATCCAATGCTCAACGCCATCGGCAGCAAGCAAAACTGGTGGACGCTGGTCCTTTCCAGGCTCGGTAAGCTCTTTGTAGAAGGCTTGCCATGCCTGCCACGAGAGGTGGTGGTCACCTGCGCCCTTTTGAGCCAGATCCAGTAATGTGGAGTTGTTCTTGAGGGAGAGTGTCTTGGGATGAGCGTGGTTGAGTTTCAAAGACTTCAAGACGGATTCGTTCGAGGTGGCAACGCGGGTGAGCAGGAGTTGGGTTAGGTGTGGTTGGATGTACATATGTTCAGACTCGTCCTCGGCGTGTCGAAGTGGCGCGTATGAGGACGTGTTATTGACAAAGTCCTGGGCTGTAAAAGTCGAAAGTCAGTGATCTCGCCTCTGAACACGGATGAACATGGAAATCTGCCTACCTTCTGGGACATTCAGCACGATCCAGTGATCCATATATGCCATGCTCATGGCCTGTAACAAGAGAACGCTTTTCCCACTAGCCTTCTCGCCAGTTATTAGATGTTTGATGACCTTTTTCTTCTCGCCCTCCTGCTTGACATCCTGCATTTCTTTCGCAATGCGAAGTGTCTCCTCTCGTATTAAAGTCGCTGGCCTGCGAAAGAGACTCCAGTTCTGGGTAGTCTTGAACGCCCCTGAATCCCTCAATTGATCCAACAGACCACCATCAAGCGCCAACATGTGTCCAACAAACTTCTCGTCGACCAAGTTCTCCTTACTCCATGTCTCTAAATCCGAGACGGGTAAGGCATTGGTGTTGGAGAGGACGATCCGACGACGTTGGGCTCGACGTTCGCCAACTGGAGGTAACTTGGGACGATCGCGGCTCTTTTTCTTCAGGCGTGCGGATTGGGATTGACGAGCTCTGGGAGGTCCGCTGCCGGATTGGGAGGTTTTCTTCTTCAGCAAAGGGGATTTATATTGTGCTGCTGAGCTGTGAAAGGACGTTGATTGAGTCCATGTCGCTGCGGTGATGGCGAGACTTTTGGGAGTTGTCGATGAGATCCGCAGCCGTGAAAGGCATTCTGTGCATATTGACAGCGACATTGTAAGCAAGAAGCCAACACGGTCTTCGCCGTGAGAGCAGTGCGATAACAGCTGCTCAAAGAACTACCACATTTGGGTCGACAAATAGCTTAAAATCATGGCCGCAGGGAAAGATGCGCAATTGGTTGGCCTTTCCCAATACGGACTAGTGCAGCCTGGAGAGGCACGAGGATGCACTCAGCCTCGCCATGTCCGACCAAGCAGCTCAATCCGAACCTCTTGAAGAGCCTGGCAGCACTGTCTGATGAATAATGGGTCCATTTGGAGAGGATTGCAACAACGAAACAAAATCCCCTACGCACTTATACAGAGAAACTCCTGTACTATTTGATAGCATTTACTACGATCGCTTCTCCCGGCTCTCTGTGTTGAAGCTGCATTGATAGTCTTATGAGTACAGCGTAAGTAATGATATACATACGTAAGCCACAGACATTCAGAATCAACTGAATGATTAATGCGAGTGGCAGACTATCTGACTGATCTTGTTGTAGGTGGCAGGCCATTTGCCAAGCCCTCAGAGAGGTTACCAGTTACAGACATACTGCTAGCCTTTTTGGGACTAGCTGCCCAAGTCACACTTGGCACCCACCGCACCTCGAAAAATGCACTTTTTGGGATTATTTCGCATTGTCCACGCCCAGCTCTTCTGCACCTCACACATCGATCCCGCCATTATCACCTCCACCATTGCCCCCACGACGCTCTGAGGGCTCTGAAGCACACCTTCGAAAACCGCTGACCCTTAGCGAACGTCAAAATGGTCAAGAAACGAGCCTCCAAGTATGCCATCATCCCCCAGTGCCATCCAATCCATTTTCTGACAAGACCAGTGGTCGCAACAAGAAGGGCAGAGGCAGAGTCAAGCCCGTTCGGTGTTCCAACTGCTCTCGCTGCGTGCCCAAAGATAAAGCCATCAAGAGATTCACCATCCGTAACATGGTCGAATCGGCAGCAATCCGTACGTAACTTCTTGTCGAGGGTGGAAAGCCCCCTTCAAATCGGGAATGAGAAAACAATTGTGTGGACTGACGAACGATTGGGATAGGTGATATTTCCGATGCGTCCGTGTTCGCCGACTACGCCGTCCCCAAGATGTACCTGAAGCTCCAGTACTGCGTGTCGTGCGCCATCCACGGCAAGATTGTGCGAGTCCGGTCGCGCATCGGCCGTCGAAACCGTGCCCCGCCCCCGCGAGTCCGATACAACAAGGACGGTAAGAAGGTCAACCCCCAGCAGGCCGCTAAGACCGCGCAGGCTTAAGGGGGTTCTCCTTCTGATTATTGATGCACGTGTGTCGGGAAGGTGACTGGAGTGGTTGGAGACGAGAATGAGGATCATCTGAAATATTGACGAGTGGTTCTCCCTCGCGCGGAGCGGACAAACAAGATTTCGTCTTGACGAACTTTTCAGGACGAGAGTCGTATGGGGAGCCTTTGCGAAGAGTCGAGCGCTGGCCAGGGATTGCATGTGCAGCATCTTATGGACCCTCACCCTTTGCCTATGATTAACAATGGCATATCAACGGCTACGGCGGTATCAATGGGGACCCTTTTTTCCACTGGTAGATGGAGGCTCGGAGCTTGATGAAAAACGGTGGAATGACAATCCAAAGAACAGACCTACGAAAAAGGAAAAAGCATAAATGAGCTCTGGTCACAGTGTCAAAAAAATATTGCATCTTTTTGCAAATCAAACAAATACCCCGGGCTGGTCATATGCTGAAAAAATGGACGAAACTCCAAATGCTAGCCGTGAGACCGAGTGACAGACCGTCCCGTGTACCCCGACATTCAAGTTGTGGTGTCAATATACCTCGTGCAGCCAAAGTGACTTCCGCCCCCAGGTGCACGGTTTGACTCTTTTCCATCTTCACCACGAAAAGATCCGAGTCAGTCGCAGATAAGTGCATCGTCAGTTCAATCTCCACCCGTTATAGTGCCAAAAGACTTCTGAGGGCAACGAATTGAGAGAATTACTCCAATTGCCCTGAAGATCTTCGTTGGTGAACGTGGTCAATTCGGGCTGCAGAGCTAGGTGAAACGCATTCCACTGTACCGGCCGGCCCTGGGAGGGATGTGATGTGACTCCACGTTTCGTGTAGGGGTTCTCCCAAGTGAGGACAGATCGTGGGTTTCCGCCATAATTCGAGTCAAGTTGCAACAACATTGGCGTCCAATTGCTGAGGTCAGAGTCATGGAAATGCTATCTCCTTTTTGACGCTGGGAGAAGCGTGTCATCAGGCAAGCCCCCTCTCTTCGTCCCTGGCAAGCTGCCCGTCCCAATGTCATTCGTTTCAGTGCTTACCCTCCTGTGTGGATACACCTCGTTCAGCCCTTCGAAGCAATTGTTGCTGACCCAGATCTTGCCTTTGTTCGGCCCATCATCGGTGTTTCTGAAATACTCGTGGTGGAGAGCTTGCTCGGCCGTCAAGCGTAGGTCGGGATCGTACTCGAACAACTCCGACAAGAGCTGGAACCCGCGTTGGCCAGGAGACTTGTCTGGAGGGTAGCTCGCGTGCCGGATGCAGTTGTTATACCACGACTCCAGACCGCTGCCATTGTTACCACCAGAACCGCGGTTCAGAGACGTAGGGGGGTTCGGATATAAGCCTCCTGGCATCCCGCCACGCGACACGATCAGTGACTGCAGCTGCGGATATTCCGGCATGTCCACCAAGCCCTTCCAGTTTTCTCGTCGAGGCATGCCCAGGATTTCCACAATCTTGCCCATCTGGTTTCTCTGGAACGGTACCGTCTTCTTGCTATCCATCTTTGTTTCTTCTCCCTTGAAAATTGGCCTGAGGCTTAGGAGTTCAGCGAAGATACATCCGACAGCCCAGAGGTCAATGGACGGCGTGTAATGACGTGCACCCAGAAGCAGGTCGGGGCTACGGTACCATATGGTAACCACGACCTTGTCCCCGGAATATAGTGATGAGAGAGGTTTGTGGAAGAGTCGGGCAAGTCCCAAGTCTCCGATGCGCACATGTCCAGAGCTGGTGACCATGATGTTGGCAGGTTTCAAATCACGATGAATCACCCAGTTCTGGTGGAGATAGTACAAGCCATTGAGGAGCTGAAATAGGATCGACTTGATCATGGTAGCGGGGATGGGTCGCCTGGTCGGCTGGGTATGATGGTGAATGATTTGGAGAAGATCATGCTCGCAGTATTCAAAAACCATAAAGACACACTTGTCCTCGAGGATGATCTCGGCCAGATGAACCACGTTTGGATGAGACAACTCGGTGCACAACGACATCTCCCGAATGGCAGATTGAGACAATCCTGTATACTGGACATTGTCTCCTTCCTTCTCCGGTTTGAATCTGTTTGTGGGTCAGAGTAGACCTTGCTTATAGGGAAATCTTGTGACGTTACTTTTTGATGGCATATAGTTCCTTTGGTGGAGATGTCCCTGAAGGACTGGTCGAATCACTTTTTGGATTCTTCTCTACAGCTTTGTATACTCGACCATAGGTGCCGCTGCTAATGAAACCGATGATAGTATACTTGTGGCCGATTTTAACCTTCGCTGTATAGTTGTTGCCCGGTATTTTCTTGTCATGGCCCCGGCCAGAATCTTGCGGTTTATATCAGCTTGCTCCGTTTGCACTGCTCAGCCAATGAAAATAGGGGTCGAAAGGGAAGAACACTAAGAAGGAGTATATACCATCTAAAGCCAACTGAGTGGACTTTCGGAGTTGTTGGGCAATGTTCAGACTCGTGCCTGAGCGGGACATGCCAGGAATCGACATTTCGTCCAAGCCCCCCCAGTACGACGTCGGGTGTTTTGTGCTTTGAACAGACGTCCAATCTAACACGAACGGAACGATGTTGGCGACATCATCGAACGGGAAGCATTCATCTGCCTCGCCAACAACCCCGGTGAGGCTGTCTCTCACAACGTGGAATAGGCAGCCTCCGCCCGATTCCGCCGATCAAGGATGGCCCAAAGTCGAGTGGCAACCAAGGAGTCTTGTGGATCAGCAAACAAATCGCCTTTCTTGTAATTAGGCCGCGGGATGGGAATCTGTTAGAAAATAGTTGATAGTCAGATGCACATTAAAATCGAAAAGCATAAAATCCCATGGAGGCGAAAGGATCGACATTGACGGCGATGGAGGCGAGGTTTGAAGACGGCGAGGACGGCAAGCCTTGCGGGGAGGCAACAGGAGGTGTTCTTGGTACGAAGCCGGTCGATTTGATGTACGACTTGGCATTGTGGGTGCTGACCAATAGGATGTGGTGAGGCCACGGCACGGCTGCACTTTGCCCCGTTCGCCTGCCTGCGCCTACCTGTGCTGGTCTGCGCTGGCTTGACTTGGTCATTTCCTTGTCGTCTACGGCGTCCAATCCCATCGTCCTCTCCTGCTATGCTTTCATCGGAGGGCGCCGCTTCCTTCTCAATCAACCATGGGGAATCTAAACAATCTGTCTGCCTGTGCGCAGCTAATCTGCATCATTACGCAACAATCTACATCATTGGGCTCCAGTATCGTTCCCCTGTTATCGCGTCACTTGCGTGTTTAGGTCCATATAGTAAAAGAGGGAGGTCTTCCTGAGAGCATTCTCGGTTGGTATGCTATCACCAACTGTCTTCCTCAACATGGGACGAACTGCGCTGACGAAGACCAGCAGTGGCTATGGGCTCTACACGCAGGTCAATCTCTCACCGGGTCTGCCCCCGAAGGGCCTGATGGCAACTCCAAAGCCGAAAGGTTTCACCCTGTTGCTCATCTCCACTGTCTACGTGGTCACCCTTGGTCCTCTCCTCTTTGGCTACCACTTGGTGAGTATTGCCGGGCCACAACCTGTGATGGGGAGACATGACTGACAAACACCAGGGAGAACTCAATGCCCCTCAGAAGGTCATTACCTGCCAAGTCGACCAACTCCCCGGATATGTAGCCCTCGGACTTCCTCAATGCATTCCCATGAACGACTTCCAATGGGGTATGGTGCAGTCCATGTTTACCGTCGGTGGTCTCTTCGGAGCGCTCTTCAGCGGTGCCGTCGCGACAAAGTTCGGTCGATTGTTTGCGTTGAGGTGGGCAACCTTTTTCCTGGCTGGCGGACCTGTTGCTGAAGCACTGGCGGGTAAACTATGGCTGCTGGCCCTGGGTCGTGCACTCTCTGGATTGGGAGCCGGTGCAGCCACTGTCGTGTCTCCCATCTATATCTCCGAAGTGGCGCCCCCAAAGCGCCGTGGCCTCTTCGGAGCCTTCACTCAGGTCCAGATCAATTCTGGCATCGTTGTCGCCCAACTCCTCGGCTATTTCTTGTCCAAATCCAACAAATGGCGCTGGGTGCTGGCCACGGGCGGTTTCATTGCCGGTCTCATGTTTGTGGGCCTCTTTTTCACGCCAGAAACTCCCAAATGGCTTGCAGCAAATAATCGACCGCGAATGGCCCGCGGAATCCTGCAGCGCCTCAGAGGGAAAACGGCGGATATTCGAGAGGAGATGGAGGGCTGGGACATGTCAGGAGAAGCAGAAGAGGAAAGTCTCCTTGCGTCCCCGAGAGGTGCGCGGCCACTCAAAGAAGCAGCCCGATCTATCATTGCAGTCGTCAAAATGCCCAAGTATCGACGACCCTTGATTGCCGTGACGGGTACCATGATTGCTCAACAGCTCTGTGGTATCAACAGCGTCGTCATGTACAGCGTCGCCATTCTGGGCAAGGTCATGCCCAAGCACGCTGGCCTCGTCACGGTCATCGTCTCAAGTGTAAATGTGGTGGTGACAATCTTGGCAGCGCCTTTGCCTGACAAAATTGGCCGAAAACCCTGCCTCCTGATTTCGATTATAGGGATGGGTGCGGCATCAGGGATGTTGTACGCCGGGCTCGCAAAGCACATTCAAGCCCTCACGATCGTTGCCGTTGCACTATTCGTGGCCAGTTTTGGTGTTGGGCTTGGACCGATTCCGTTCATCTTAGCAAGCGAACTTGTCGGACCTGAAGCCGTTGGGGCTGTTTCTAGCTGGGCACTTGCGGCCAACTGGCTATCAACATTCTTGGTGGCCATGTTCTTCCCTGTCTTGAACAAGGTCCTTACGCACAACGTGTGGTGGATTTTTGTGGGTGTTGCTGTTTTTTGGGCTATATTTGTGGTTGTGTTTGTGCCCGAAAGCAAAGGCAAGGCCAATGCGGAGGAGGTGTGGCGGAAAGGTCGCTGGTGCTGATCGAGGCTGACCACAGTGTGATTGTTGGTGCGATTCCTAAATGACTTGGACGAGGGGATGTGAACCAAGGCCGAAGATAGACCGTTGCAATGGGTGCTGGACTCCCTTGACTGTTTGGCTGCTGGTGTATTAATATCGTTAACTTATCACTATCCACATTCTTTAAGAAGCTTCGTTCTCCTGGCCAGCCACAAACAGGTTTTTGTCTCCTTTTGTCTCGACCTTGTGGAGCTGTCTATTGTTCCCAACCGTGCCAACCACGATTCTCTCGGACTGATAATGGACCGACCAGCATTGCCATGACATTGCCGAAGACTGCATCATGACCTAAGCTTGTATTCTTGTTTGCTCCACACAACCTCCCCGCGTCTCCACGTATCTGGTGCTGCGTCTCCACTAGTCCACGAATACGTCGTACCTCTAACAGATCAAATCATCATCCAACATGGTGTGGCAGCTGTTCGTTGGTTGCATACCTAGTTGAGCAGAAGAACAAGAGAATCAACTTCGCGACCAACCACCCTTCCAGGCGCGGGGTGTGTGTCTGGAGATGGATACATCCCGACCCCGCCGTGATCCGGCATCACCACCTCATGCCAACCGTGCCAGCTTTCGATATACTGACGTCAATGGGCCAACTTATTCTGTTGCCTTTGTGTCTCCTAGCTGCCCTCCCCTGGAAGTGGCCGACGGATCAAACGTATTGGCTCGTCTCCCCAGATATGATACCGAGGCAGATCATGCTCGACCCCAGTAACCCCGTTTTTACAGACTAGCTATAGCTGGGGTTATCCGACCCTCAAATTGATTGCCGTGTTCAGCATGGAGCTATTTCCCGATCCGGAAGCTAGAAACTGCTCTCGACTTATGGACACGCAGTCGATGGACGGACTTGGACCAGTCCGCGTCAACCATTGCCCCAGTCACCGGCTTTGACCAATTCTTCTCCAAGACAGTGGCGGTAAAGAAGTATTTCAAATGCACGCTGCTCCCCCTTCCATGCTCTCTTGCTGAGATCTGTCTTCAGGTGCTCGACAGGTACGCCGGTGATCAATTCTCAGAGAATGCTTTCATCCACCACCTTTTCGCTTGTGGCGATTGCACTTCTGACTCCGCTTGTCCACACGCAGGCTACGCTTCCTCAGGTTGATCTCGGCTATGAAATCCACCAGGCGATCAGTTTCAAGGTATGTATTCCGATGGTCGCAAACAGAATCTCGCTCAAACTGACTCCACTTCATAGCAAACCGGACAGACGTACAACTTCTCAAATATACGTTATGCACAGCCGCCCATAGGTAACCTTCGCTTTGCTGCTCCTGTGCCACCCAGTGGCAGAAACAATGTGGTGCAGAACGGCAGTGTCGACAGAATCTGTCCGCAAGCTATTCCGGGATGGTATCCAATCTCCTCCGAGTTCGTTCAGTATCTCATAGCAGGGAATGCGACCTCGTTCAACTACACCCAGGCCGAGGAGCAGCTTCAAATTGCCTTGCAAAATGCTAAGCCTACCCCACCAGATCCACGGATGTCTGAAGATTGCCTGTTCTTGGATGTGATTGTGCCCAAAAAGGTCTTTGACGGCTCGAAAAGTAGAGTCAGAAGACGCCAAAATGCGGGTGCTGCGGTGGTGGTCTGGTAAGTTCAAAGAGCTTGATGTCGACACCATTTTCTTACTGGGATCAGGATCTACGGCGGCGGGTATACTCTCGGATCCAAAGAGGGATCTGGAAATCCTAGTGGTCTCATCAAGGCTAGTCAGGCCAACGGAGGTGAGGGCGTCATCTTCGTGGCCATGAACTACAGACTAGGCGCTATGGGTTGGCTTGCAGGCCCTACCTTGCAGGCAGCCGGAGGAGTGTCTAATGCAGGCCTTTATGATCAGCGTCTGGCTCTGGAATGGGTGCAGAACAACATCCATTTGTTCGGTGGCGATCCAAACCGGGTCACTGTCATGGGCGAGTCGGCCGGAGGAGGATCAATCGTCCACCAGATCACCGCCTTTGGGGGCCTGAAGGAAGTCCCTTTCCAGCAAGCCATCTCGCAATCACCCGGCTATCTTCCGACGCCGTCATATTTTGTCCAGGAAAACGCCACGCAGTCGTTTCTGTCGCTTCTCAACGTCAGCACAATCGAGGAGGCCAGACAAGCATCCTCTGAGGCAGTAATCAAAGCCAATGCACTGCAGGTGGGAGCCTCCCAGTATGGAGGATTTACCTACGGGCCAGTTGTTGATGGGGTCTTTGTGCCCGCGCTTCCTGGTACTCTGCTCAATGCAGGGGCATTTGCGAAGAATTTGAGCGTCATGGTGTCACATACACTCAGCGAGGGACCATCTTTTACGCCACCCTATGTGCAAACTGACGACCAGTTGGAGAACATGATAGTCATGCTTAATCCTGGCACACCTCCCGCGGCGGTAGACTACATTGTCAAAACACTCTATCCAGCTGTCTATGATGGAAGCCAGCCTTATAAGTCTCCCATTGAGCGAACTATCCTGTTCGTCACCGAATCGTCCTTCACCTGCAACACATACTTCCTCAACAAAGCTTACAGCAACAACACGTACTCGTATCAATTCGCCGTGCCGCCTGGCTTCCATGGATATGATGTGCCATATACCTTTTACAATGGCCAACCCACCAACCTCACGCAGGACCTGATTGCCCCAGTGGCCAAAACCCTTCAAGCCTACCTCACGAACTTCATCCTGTCGGGCAATCCCAATGGACAGGGACTGCCACCATTCCCAATGCAGGGTCAAAATGCCAGTATGAACTCGATTTCGACTGTGGTGGCACGGGTTAAAGATGATACATCAAACCAAAGATGTGCGTGGTGGGAGAAGTCACTGAATAATTGAAGAATGGATGGATAGGGTGGATGACGTGGACTAGTGACGTGGTGGAATGCGGTATGAAGTTCATATGGGCATTCAGCCCCGCCAGGGAGGTCGTCCAGTCTGAAGGTGTAGTGATATATGGAGTGAAAGGGTGGCTTCCAGCCCCTTCAACGCATCAACCAACTCGATGGTCGTGGAACTGGGGAGCTCTTCATTGTCATTTCCGTCGCTTGTCTGAAGTCCTTCACCCGCCCATCTCCTTTTCATCCACACACATTCACTCACTCACAAATATCCCTCGCGAGGACGAAAATGTCGAGTTACAAAAACTTTTCCACAGACTCGGTTCGACCCCCTGAACCGGGATCAAATCCGTCTGTGGTAAGTTAAACCTTGCTCTTTCGAGTGGGTTTTTTTTTCTCGGTAAGTCTCTGCCAGCGTTGAGCTGTGGCATTTGGATGGCATCACTTGTCAGCAACGTCTTGGTTGCAGGTGAGTGTCATCTGGGACTAAAATGTGAATCTACAATATATCACTTATTCGATTCAGGGAAGGAGCAAGTGACGATGGTCAGGTGATGTTGTTGTTGGTGTTGGTGTTGAGGGTGACAGTAACAATTCTCCTTCTCCCTTTCTCTCTCTACCTCCCTCTGCTTGATCCTTTTTCAAGAACTCTTCAGCAAGGCCTCGAACGTCTTCTCCATCATTTTTCCCTCTGCATTTATTACTATCACACATTCTCATGATGGCATTTACACTGTCCGCATTGCTTTGCTCGCTCCTCCTGGTCGTCTCTCCATTCGTGAGCGCGTACTACGAGAGGTGGACCGCTCTTCCCTACTGCGCTGTAAGGTCGATCCATGAAGTTGTGGCTCGTTTCCTGAGGCTGACCATACTCACAGCAAGATTGCTTCACCAAAGCTGTCAACGCTTCTCTCTCTACCTGCGCCCATACATCCCTTGACTGTTTCTGTCGAAATGTTGACGCCGTCACAAAGTTCGACCTTTGCCTCCAAGCCAACGTGCCTTGCAACTCCAACCCCTTCAACCGCGATATCGAGACGTTCAAAAACGCCGTCTTCTGCAACGCTTCTGTGGATAGTGGCTTTGATTACACGTTGATCAATGGCGCAAGAACTATCACTCTGGGAAGAGGTCCTTGGGGAGGTTATTGGGTTACAGTCTCAGATCCTACTCAGATTCAGGCATGTCGCATACATACTTTACCGTGCATGACTCTGTCCTGTGCCTGAATGGCTAATATTTTGCAGACGTTGTCAACCTCTCCATCATCTTGGACGTCTAACACCTCAATCACTGGTACCGACCCAGGCTCTGTTACCGTGACCGCGACTCAAGTGATAATCACCAGCACCTCGACTGTTGTCGTGGATTTGCCCCCAAACACCACATCAAGCGGCAACCTGAGCAGCCCCTGGACTGTATACTCGACCCCGAGTGCTATGGCAGTGCAGTCTTTCAATGCTGCTGTTCGTGCTCATGCTGGCACTCTGGAGATTGTAGAGAAAGGACTGGGCGTTTTGGTGACATGGATTCTCGTTGGCAAGATATTCTAGTGACGGGAAGACGACTAAGCTATTTCAGCAGCGTCATGCAAAACCAATTCCCTCTTTGGATACTGGATGGACATGGAAGCCGGATTGAAGACAACTGGAGCTAAGATTCAGCATTGGGCGATGGTGTTACCTGAAGGACGGCACGGTGGTTGCACGTTCGACAACACAATTACGGCTCACCGCTGGCACATCCGCGACTCTCTATTGATGACTAGCCATTGCTGCATGCTTCTTACCGTTCACGATTTCACATTTTATGCTGTGCGTCTGGAGTGGTTCTGCAAGATATCTCCGAAGGGTGACACGGTGCCTTCTTTGTGGAGTGGCTCTACTTTTCTTGGCGTTATGCTTCTTCCTCAAAGGCATCATGCATAAATTTCCAAGTGGTTGTGTATGTCCATGCTATCCTCTCTACAGACTTTCAGAATCATTCCAGTTGAGATTATCGCCATCAATTCTTTGCGACTTGTCATTCAAAACGTTTGAGACCCTGACGCAGCCACCAATGCCTACCTCTTACGAAGTCTCTGACTATGGTGCGCCGTAGAGGGCTAACAATTGTCTCTTCCACTTTCTGCGCGGGACCGATGATCAATGTTTGGGGCTTCGCATCTTCCGTTCGTTCAACCGACCTGAGTATGACACATTTTCATAGCATCACAGCAGCGCACGGTATCACTGCTTCCAGATCAAATCTCGGCCGGTGTTTCTCAACAACAGTGGCTTCCGACTTTCATCGATGCCTATAAGTTCTTGTTGTTTTCCAAATCGCGGTCGTGGGCGTTGGTCATCGGTTTGTGTACATTCTTCCCTTTGCAATCTGACCATTCGTTGTATCCTCTTGATAATGCAATAGCCCCGTCTCTCAGTCCATCGTTATGGCTGTTGCAAGATCAATTGTTTTGTTCATCCTTTCTCTGGCTGTCGGCTATACGTGCGCCCAGTTCGACAGCTGGGACGACCTTCCTTCCTGTGCGCAAGAATGCTTCAACGAAGCCCTCATGTCCGTGATCAGCCACTGCGGAACTACAAACAGCGTGTTGTCCATTCGTCTCTGCACCTGCTCCAGTTGCACCTACAGCGACACATTGAGCTCCTGTCTCTCCAGATCTGGCGGCTGTCGAGATCAGGGGCAGTCAAATGAAGTGCTGATGACCAACGACCAGGTCTTTTGCAACATGGTCGTTGACGCAGCTGTTACCTGGGGAATGCGATCTGCAGAATGGACTGTGGGTGGTGGATTTGGAGCGACTATGTCTACGACCATCAATCCGACCTGCTCAACTGTGGCAGAGACATCTACGCCGTCGGATATTGAGCCGGCGTCGACGACGTGGGTATGTGATCTTCAAGCTTTGACCGTGGAATGACTGTTTCTGACGCAGCAAAGGCGGACATAACTTTCTCGTACCCTGTCCTTAGCTCGGACACCTGTGTCAGTCCCGCATGTACGCCTAAATACTCGACATTTGCGACTGGCGTGGACTCGTCTCCGTGTACTTCGGACATCAGCTCCTCTTCTTACACGCCCTCGAATGCAATCTCAGCCCCTTCCTATCTTCTTCCCTCATTCGCCTCCGGCTCTGATTCCTACAGCGCGACGTCTCTTGTGTCCCCCTTGACTGGGACCCAGTCCACGTATACCCAAGTTTCGCTAACCCCAACAGCCACGTGTACTTCCGGTGTCTCTGGGAGTGGCTGTCCAGAAGGTCCAGATTGTTCCCATAATACGACAATCACCATCTCGATCACAAGCACATCGTACGTGACGACAACTGTTCACTCGAGCTTCCCTTCAAATAGCCCTGGAGGCCCTGCCACGCATTCTGTGTCTACGTCCGAGTCATGCCAGAGCACGACTACCGATGGGGGGAACGCGACAGGTACCATAGTCATTTCGACGTCTGTTACAAGTGGGCAGCAGTCTGATAGCGGCTTGGGATATCCGACACCGAACCCACCCCTGATCACCTTGACATCGGCTGGATCAGCCACCCTCAGCAGCAGCAGCGCGTACGGAAACAGCGGCTATGGTAGCAGCATAAGCACCAGCGACACCGGAGCCTCTATTACCATTACAGGTCCTGTAACGCAAAGCCAATCTCCATCTCCACCCCTGACATTCACGTCTCATTCTATCACCAGCTACACTACAAGTACAGGTATTGGTACCACAATCACTACCTTGACGAGCCGGAGTACAAGTACGGGCACAGGTACAAGCACAAATCTCCTTCCAAGTCAGACCGGGGGTGCGGGAGAGCTGGCGTTGCCATTTGAAGGACTGGATATGGCGACGGTTCTGTTTGTGAGTGGATGGATCTTGGTCCTTGGTTTGTGATTAGTTAGGTAGGTAGCTAGGTAGTTCGTGGAGAAGGAGAAGAAGGAGGCGATGCGAACGAGGATCTGGAGAAGGAGGAAGAGATGGATCTAGTGTTGGACAGTGAATCGATGGACTCCTCACATGTGGTCACGCCCGTGGATGCGTGGTTTGTACGGTAATTGGGCACAGCAGTAGCCGTAGCGGTAGCAGTTTTTCTGCTCTTTGGGTTGATGGTCGACGAGTCATTCGGTCCTGGTGATAGAGGATAAGAAGATAAGAAGATCGTGGATATCACAGGGTCACAGGGTCACTTGATGTGTATAATTATGCCTCCTCGTCGACCTTGACCGAGAGAAAAACCGTGAGTTGCCCACTCCTCTCCTGACGGGCGTGAACAATGAACAACGGATATTGATCATGTCCCCTATCGCCTGGTCTCATGACCTATGCTTAGTGTCATGCCTCTTTTTTTCTCGTCCCGCGCGTGGCAGTAGTGGTAGTGACATTGCTACTGACGAGACTCGTGACATGTTTGGCTGGCTCTGTTGCGGACTTTCTGGAGTAATTTTTTTTGATCTTCGTTCTCTGAAGTTTCTAGATCTAGTCAAGTCACGAACGGGAATCGGAATCTGAATTTGAACATGAATATCGAATAGATTCAGGCATGCATACATGCATGTGTACATGTGAACACGAAACACAACCTGCATCTCATCTCGAGATCGGATCCTATCTTGTCTACACCGTCCACTCTCTACTGTCCACAGGTCGGGAGAAAGAACAGCGGAGAGAGACATACAAAAACAAGGCGTAGACCCGCCTACCTCGATATGACACTGCTGGCCGGTCTCCTAGCGCGGGCGGCCCTTGTCGGCAGCGCTACTGCACCGCTTCAGCAGGCTGTGGCTGGCACCCCGTATGTGTATACAAACTGGACGCAGCTCCCGACTTGCGCGCAGACCTGCTACAGCGCCGCGCTCCTCCAGGCCTTTGGGTCCTGCGGCTCCATCCTCTCCGGCGGCGGGAATGTGGACCTTTCATCTTCCTATGCATCTGCTTCGGCCTCTGCCACTGTCGCTGCCACTGCCACGACCACAGCCACGACGAATGACAACAATGTGGGTGTTATCGACGACGACTCCCCCTCCGCCGTGCTCCGGCGATGTATCTGCACAGACTGCTCGTACCGCACAGCCTTAGCAGCCTGCTTGAGCGGGTCTTGCACGACAGCAGAAGCCTCGGTCGACGACATTTTGTGTCTGAATGATCGCGTGTTCTGCAACGCCACCGTGGACGCCACCGTGCAGATGTGGGATCGCAATTTGATCTGGGTGGTTGTGGTTGGTGCGCAGGGCGATGAGTCGTCATTGTCGCCAGGAACTCCACGGGAAATGGCTTGGACTTGTGCGACGGGGACTTCAAGTGTTACTGAGACGGCCACTGCAGTCACCAGCAGTAGTAGCAGTACCAGCAGCAGTAGCGCCTCCTCAATGTCTCAGGTTTGTTTCCCCTCTTTGCTCTGCGTCCCTTTCGATCAGATTGACTTTACCATACTGACGGGGAGAGAATAGACCACCGTACCAGCCATTCGAACGACGACCATCACGGCGACTCTGACGCTAGACCCCTCTTATCCTAGTCAGGCCACCAATCCAAGCAGTGTTATTACTTTGACAGTTCCGTTGGGGACAGGAAGCGATATCGTCTCAGCTTTGACGTCGACATCTACCACTCTGAGTAGTTCCACGCCAACAACAGCTCCCACGTCCCTGCCGAGCATGACAACGCATTCATCGAGCCCGTCGGAAAGCAGCATCGTCACCCTCGCTTCTGTGGCGGCAAGTAGCTGGGCAACCCCGCCCTCTCGTTCATTCAGAGCGGGAATTCTTCTCGTGTCAGCTGTGATCGTTGGTCTCGTCTATTGACCACACTGCATCCGACCATCGATATGAACCATATATCCGAAGGGTCTGGCAAGGTTCGGTTTTCTTGCTTGATCGGGACCAACGCCTGGTCAAACAGCATCGGCTCGTCACCATTTGTCCTGAAGAATACAGATTGTTGGGGGGGTTGTTTCCCTCCTATGCAGAGCTATCTGACCCCGGAATCGTGTTGTGTCGGTTCGTCAGCGTTTGCAGGTCGAACATATCATCAAGGATGGTACACGTACATAGGACTTATACAACTAGACGACATGGGGATGGGGAGCGGTTGTTTCAGACAAAGGACGAGGTACTTAGTGCAAGTCTTGGAGAGCACCTCATATGAATAGTAGAATTAACACTTGCCCATGCCTCACCATTATGTGTCATGCCGTGATCCTATCCTGCTAATTGGTCGTAGTTGGGCAGCAATACTTCGTTTACCCCTCTAAGATGCCACTTTTGGCTGCTCATTCATCCGACCATCAGGCCAAACGGAAATTGTTCTCACCGACTTGATAAAGACTGAGTTTGTAAGGTTGATCTCAATTGCATGGGGACGACAGAACAGATTCAGATCTCGATGAGTTTCAGACGGACACAACACGTTCCATAGTCAGTTGGCAGGCTTCCCAGCTGCAGACAACACAGACAAGGTAGACAAGGTAGACAAGGAAGATAAAGGCGACAAATGAACAAGATACCCTAACACTATTGGTTGCTATTTGCGCTTGTACTACGTATACACAGCCTCCCCGTTCACTGCGGTGGGCGACAACGCACAATATTCCTATTTCGGGCCGACAAATACGAAGCGGTCGAGGAACACGTATATCACTACAGGTTCTTCCCATTGATTGAAATGAGCATGCTCCTTGTCATATAGAGCAGATCAAAGCGGTAGGAGCAACATCTTCGTCTTCATCCTCGTCAGTCCGAGTGCAAAGCCAAGTGGCTGACCACAAAAGTATGGCCTCACGCGATCACATTCTCCAGTTGAAGAAAACTACTCCACCAACTACCAAACAACCCACATTCATTTCGATTCGAGATGCACCAGAAGCATCACATTTTGGAATGAACGAGGTAGCATGCCTCGTTTTCGGCGCCCAACGATTTCATGTGACATCGGGATTGAATGCGTGTTTTGGAGTGTTTCTGGTGTCTCTGACAGCCACCGTATCTGCGCATATTCCTCCACGCCCAGACCTCCAAGATCCAGACCCGCAGGCTGGCGACAAGAATCTGCTCGCCAAAATGCACGAGTTCGCTAGTCTTTACAAGGCGAATGAAAAGCATTTCACCTCGTACCATGTTGCCTTGATCTGCGCCAGATTCGAAGGGAAGGCTGCATTACCGGACAAGAGGGACTTTATCGTGAAGTGTCTTAAGAGATTCAATGTCGATTTTCCCATCCAATACTACGACGTCAAGTTTGCTCGCGAGCCACGCTCCGAGAAGCATGGCACGGCCTTTGTGGACGGCGGGCGTATGGACGGCGCGGTCCTCTATCTTGAGGATGACCCTGTCCTACGGGTACACAAGTCTTCAGATCGAGGCAGTCAATCGGCAACTCCGCAAGAAACCCACCATGCGAATCCGATATTCCCCCGCCCTTGCACAATTCCACCAGATGCACACGCAACGGATCAACCTAGCGACCAAGGTAAGCCAATCTGAAGCTTGGACATATGTGAAATCCAAACCCGATCACCAGGCAAAGAAGGTCGAGTCGTGGAAGGCCCATCAGGGTCCGCGTCTATCAGAGCCGAGGAATTGGAAAAGGCTACAATTAAGGGCAATACTGTCCTCGCTTGTAAGAAAGTACCGGTTGTATACCGACTTATGATGCTGCTGATAACGAGAAGAGGGGAAGACATGGGAGTGGATTCGAGAAGTTTGTCGTTCTTTCGCCGATTGGAACTACCTATTTCCTCTGTAACATGAGTGGTTTCACAATACTTTACTCTTTTTCGCCCCCCCCCGTACATTTCGAGTTCAAGTGTTTTTAAACTTAGCGGATAAACCTTATTGATAAGGGCCGGAGCTATTAAAGTGGGCGCTAAACCGAGCCGACGCGTTACCCCGCCAACTCGCTCCCAGTAACTCATCATTCTCTCCTGTTCATCTTCATCCCTAATTCATCCTCTTCACTCTTTTCAATGGTCCTCTCGGTACGATTGAACCAATGTGGTCCGCCGAGCCAACTCCCCTAACTGATACAGTTGCCTCTGGTGATGTCGAGAAAGTCAAAAGCCTCCTAGGCTGGCCCGCGGCCAACGACATCCATGATTTCACGGTCCAGGACAAATTCTACGCAATGCGCACTGCGGTGGAGAGGGACTATCTGTGGATCGTATCTCTCCTCCTATCGAAAGGCGTCAAGCCTTCTCCTTTCGACTTCTGCACTGCGGTGAAGAACCTCTCGTACCCGATCCTCGAGCTCATGCTTGATACGGGATTTGATATTAACGCCGCCTACCAAAAGGATTATCCTCCATTTTGGCGGTTGGTTCTCCCCCACAATCAAATCCAACAGAAATCTGACTTCGCGTAGTGATGCCTTTTCTGATTTGGAGCTCGTCCGCTGGCTTGTCGAGCATGGCGCCGATCCTAACGCTCCTACCATGTTTGGCCTCACACCTTTCACCATTGCTGTTCAATGTGCTTCTTTTGAGACTATCAAACTGCTTCTCGAGCTTGGCGCATCAGTCCAATATGGCTACCCTCTACATTCTGCTGTCTGGAACAACCGCGAAGAAGAGATCATCAAGCTACTTTTAAGTAGCGGTGCGTCGCCCAATACCATCGAGTTCGAAGGACAACCTCAATCGTACGTTGACTCTGTCACCGGGGTCGGAACACCGCTCCACGTTGCCTACATGGTTGGTAACCATAAGCTGGTTCAGTTACTTCTCGAGCATGGCGCCGACCCTAAAATCAGGGATACCAGAGGCAGGCGGCCCGCTGAAATCCACAAAATCAAGGGTCATCTTACTGCCTCCATTTAGGGCGAAGACATATGCGTCGAGTCCCACGATGAGCTGTCGCCGAGCTGGTAGTTGTGTAGATACTTGCTTCGACGCTAGAAAGCCTGAGTTTAGGTTAACGGCAATGCTTGGTGAGGCGTGTTCAGATAATCAGATGTATGGATCGCGGATACAATATATGAATTGCAGCCGCAAAGTCAGGGTCGTTCAGATTACTTCACCTACAAGTGGTTGCCACGAGGCACTTTCGCGAATTTTAGAACAAACAAAAATCCCGAGACTAATATCATCGAGCGAGGGACCTTATCTCCTTTAGTCGCTCGAGACCTCGACGTGTGACAGAGCAGATGGCTTGTTCTTGATCTAAACAATTGAGGTTAACTAGCGGTCTTGTAGGGAGAAACTCATCTAACCTATAGAACCTGTCTCCCATCGATATTCCTCAAAATCATGATCTAGTATGTGTTAGACCACATAATTAATTCCTTGACCATACCATTCAATCCATACTCCAAGCGCAGTGCCGTCTCTTCCGTAGATATGGAGGGTTTCTTCACCCATGGGAGGGCGACGGCGCACAAGTTCAGTGCGACAGGGGGCGGTGAGCATGTCGAAACACGGGGCCCAGTAGAGAAGTCGGTACTTTTGCGTGTTGTGTCGTATCATAGCGCAATGCCACGCATCCCCTCGCTGATGGTGGCCGAGACTAAGAGACGCATGAGACCCCGCATGATGTCGGATGTAGCCGTTAAAGCCTTGGCAGATAGCCTTGTTAAAAGTACCGAGTACACGTACTAAGACGGCGGGTGAAGGAAGGTCCGGCGAAAGGTTTCCCCGTCGCCGACAGAGACATCAGCTCCGAGCTTAAAAAGCAGGACCACAAGTTCCTCTCAATTTCCAGACGTTTTCTTGATGGGAAATGGAGCTCTGCATTGGTCAATGCAGATCACCCTCTCAAGCCATATTTAAATAGACCGACACAATGGTCTCCACGCGTTCCACCAAAAGGCGCTCTCGCAGCCCCGTCGCAAAAGCTGCCGAAGGGCGTCCAGCCAAAATTGCCCGAAAGAGGAAACAGGCCGTGAAAAAGCCGGTCAAATCTTTCAAGGGTGTAGAGGCTGTTCTACTAGATATAGGTAGGCAGATTCTCGAACATGGCACCATAGCAGTGCGGCACGGCACATTGGCTAACAGCAAACCCCGATCAGAGGGCACCATTTGCCCAATCACGTTTGTGAAAGATACTTTGGTAAGAAGCCACCAGCACGTATGCATCTGCTGCTTTTTCCACATTCGAGGCTATGAACGGGCAATTTAAGCACCCACTCACATGAGCGGAAAAGTTTCCATATGCCCTGAAAGCGCTTCCTGATGTTCTCGCTTCGAAGTGGGATGACCCGGAATTCGTCCCCTACCGCGAAGCGTTTCCTGAATCAGCAACTTCATCTCCTGAGGCATTCGAAGCTCACGTTAAAGATCTCACTGAGCGGGACGTAAAGATTGCTTGTTTGAAGAATCTGCAAGGTAAACGGTATTCTTTCGGGCGACCCGACACGCTCGTCCCTCTCCATGCTCACAGGTAGCCAATACTGAGTTGGAATAGGCTATCTGTGGGAGAATGGATACAAGACACATGTATACTCGACGCCTGTCTACCCTGATGTGCTAAGCTCTCTGGAGACCTGGTCATCCTCTACCACTTCTGGCGATAGCAACGTCACCAGCAAAGAGATATCTATCTACAGTAGCGGGTCAATCTTCGCACAGAAGCTTCTGTTCCAACACATCAAAGACCCTTCTTCGCCCGAAGACCCCAGGGCTGTTTTGGACAAGCGAGACGTTATCAAAGCGTGGTTCGATACGACGAATGCGGGTCTCAAACAAGAAGCCAGAAGCTACGTAAAGATTGCGGCGGAGCTTGGCAGAGGTCCCGGCGAGATCCTGTTCTTGAGTGACAATGTCAATGAGGTGCGGGCTGCGATCCAAGCGGGCATGAAAGCAGCTGTGGTGGACAGGCCAGGAAACGCGCCGCTGTCTGATACAGAGAGAGATGAATTCGAGGTTGTGGAAAGCTTTGAACAGATTGAGCTGTGAGACCAACTTCCTGGCGACATCTAGAACTGCCCATGGAGACTGATGAACGACGCGAAATTTACGTCTGTGATCGGTGTAGCTGAGTGTACATGATCCGTAAGGCGATTACCCTTCCTATCGTGCTATTGCTGATCTCCGTCGCTGCAGGCTCTTCTATCTCACGGCGAATCTTCACACAATCTCTAGTGGCTCGATACTTTACTTCCAGATACCTGACTCCGTCGAGACAACAGAGCATTAAAACCTTCATAAATTCAGCATCCAAGCATCCCTTTCTTTCCCTTTCATATGATCGAGAAACTGTGCTGGTTGTCAATGCGCGGCGGACCCTTGTATTTGAATTTCTCTCTGCCACGGAGGGCCAATAGTCGTTGCAGCAGAAAACGAGCAAGAAGCGGTTCGATGCTATCCTGGACACGGGGTCCATCCTTCCAGAATTCTTTAATTTCCGGAGTTCACAGTCCAATTCAGAGCAGAACCCGAAGAACCGGACCACGCGGCTGTGGTTTGAAGATTGACAATGCCGGCCCTGAATATGCTCGAGGCATGAATCGCAACGAAAGAAGAGGGTCGACGCCGATCATCCTTCCCCACAACCTGGTACAGGACCCTCGCTTCTTACGAAAGCTCTTCGTTTCCAGTCACAAAGTGGCCTGAAGGCCCGAGATACATAACGTGGCACCAACCGAGAGATATCGGGCCGCTAACAATAAGGGTCCTCCTGCCCTCAAGATTACGCCCGTCATTGTCGCCAACGCAACGTTTCAAGTTGATCTACTACACTAACAGCCGTCGGTATTACCTTCCCAGTCCATTGACGTTGAGTACAGCTTGAAGGAAATACGGGGTCTCTGGTCTGTTAGCGGGTGGCCTTACATCAAATTTTCCTGGCCGGGTCCAAAGATCCTTCGGAAGGACCAGCTTGGCGAGCCACCCCCAAGTTTGATTACAGAAACTCTCAAAGCCCTCCTCCCTGCTTTGCGTTGGCTGCCTTTCAGGCCATCCAGGGCATCGCTTCAACATGCTTCGTGATAGGACGATGAGACACACCCACAAATCAAACTTCCCGCTCCCCGAAGACAAACAACATCCGTCACGCTGTGTTGCGAGCCCCTGAGAATGTGATTCGATCAAACATCGACCCCATGGTCTCACACGATAGAAGGGCATCCTCCTGATTGAAGCCGTCTACTACAGAGACCGCTTCTTCTACCAATCATCGCTTCTCATTGCCTTTCAGGGTATAGCATTGTAATCCTCAATGCCCTCAAGTTACGTCGGCTCCTCGCATGGATTTTTCTCTAGGTCGCGGGGCCAGTTTAGCTCAAGATTTGAATTCTCTAGAGAGGCTCAGGGGACTCAAGTTGAAGAACCGTGCTCAAGAAGTAGGTCAAGCATGATACGACTTCTCATCCCTGCGGTATTGCGACTGGCCTATTGAGCTTGACCCGTGCTCTTGGTCCTCCTGTCTGACAATTCAAGCATGAAATACGCGGTTTGCGACTGGTTTTTTACATAATTCGCTACTTGAACTTCCATCCCTCTCGTCGGTGCCGGTCGCGAATCGGAGCGCACGACTCGAGGGGGAAAATATGGCGGCAGACACAGCAGCGCACCGAGACCCATATATCATGTCCCGCGACACAGTGGCGTCTGGCAGACTGACCGCACAACACTATCTGATACTGAGGAGGCTGGGATGGCTGCTGCACCCGGACATTGCAGCACGGATTAGGGGCCTGCGAGGGCTCGAGATAGCGGATGTCGCCTGTGGCAATGCCATCTGGTCTCTCGAGATGGCCGTGAATTATCCACATGCGCGAATAACTGGCATCGATATATCCCCGCAACAGTTTCCGCCGCAGTTCACGCTCCCGCAGAACGTGGCGCTGGAGATCCACGACATATTCCAGCCCATGCCCGACAGATATGTGGGCCGGTTCGACGTTGTCCATGTCCGGCTGATCATGGCGGCGGTCTACTTCCAGGACAAGGACTGGGTCATGCACAACATCGTCAGACTCTTGAAACCAGGCGGGTTCATTCAGTGGATCGACGCCACCGTGCCGGTCCTCCGAGCCATGAACGACCCACTGAGATATCCCGGCGCGTTTCTAGAACCCCCGGCCATCACGGCGCCTTTGACCAGTCTGTTCTCCCACACAGAATGGCTACGGCATCTCGTAGCGGAGCTCCAGCGCCACGGGCTCGTCAACCTCCGTCATGTCGACGTGCCTCCCGTACCGTGGCTCTCGAGGCAGGACACCGACAATGCGATTTGGGCCTTGACAGATATCCACGAGGGCTTGAGGGTCAGAGCACCAAAGGAAGTGTCGGACCTGTTTGGAAGAGCTGTGGGCCAGACCCTCCAAGACATCAGAGAGGGCAGGGTCTACTATACCACTTATTATACAACCATTGGTCAGAAGCCTGGGTAGTCCCCAGTGTGGGCCGTGTATTTTTGACGCGTTAATCCCCTTCCCTAGGGGCGGCTGGCTCAGCCTTGTTAGGGCGACCAGGTGACTGGAGAGGATCGTCCATCCACCGAAACCCACAGTATGTCCGGACAAACAAAAGTTATCACCATGATTGGATGGAGACCATGTCCGAGATAGATGGCACTGTACCATGAAACCTTTCGAACTATTTGTGACATACAATATCCATTGTTTCCTATTCTGTGACAAGTTTTGTCCATGTCCTTGTGCCCTCCTACGCAAACAGCAGCGACTTCCAGTCCTTGTTCTCCTCCCACACCGCTGCCACTTTAAGGCAGGTCAAATCCTCGAAGCGCTTCCCGACAATCTGGAGCCCAGCCGGCAGCTTCACGTCTGGGTTATCCGGCGCGGGCACAAACCCCACAGGCACTGAAATGGCCGGGTGGCCGGTGGAATTGAACTGTGCCGTGTTGCTGAGCACACCTAGTGGGTAGGAGAGGGCCTCGAGAGGTCCGCCGGGGAAGCGTCCAGAGGGGTTACTAGCTCCCCCCGGGAAAGGTAATGCCGGCATCGGGATCGTGGGCATGACCAACACGTCGACCGAGGCCAGGACGGCGTCGTATGCCTGTGTCGCCTTGGCCAGCAGATTGGTGCATTTGGCGTGCAGACTCGCGCCGTATTTGGCGTTGACGTACAGGTACCGCATGTACAGGTTCTGGGCGCCGGGGCCCAGGGCGTCGAAGAAGTCTTGCGAGAGAAACGCCTTCTCACTCGGCCCCATGGCCGGGGCGACAGGGGCAACGCGATCCGTCAATTCGAGGTTCTTGCGCCCCGTCGTGTCTCCGAGCAGCGCCTCCCGAGCCCCGCGCAGTGGCAGGGCGCACATCCAGATGACGCTGATGTGGTCGTGGGTCGGGACCGAGACTTCGACCACTTCGGCTCCCAGTTCTTTGAGGTCCGAGATGGCCGAGTGGCACGCTTTGGCCACGTTCGCGTCCATCTGTTTGCTGGCGAAGCCTTCCTTGAGGACTCCGACCTTGAGGCCCTTGAGGATTTGGTCTCGGGGCTTTGCGGCTCCTGCGGCCAGGAATTCCTCCAATGCGCTCGAATACCGCAAGGTTTCCGGAGCCATGGAGAATGGTTGACGGTCATCGATGCCATCTGGGCCGGCGATTGCTTCAAGCAGCCGCGCACAGTCTCGCACGTTAGCCGTCATGGGCCCGGCGTGGTCGATGACGGATTGAAGCCCAAGAATTCCCGTGTACGGGACTAGACCCCAGGTCGGCTTGTGCCCAACGATGCCACAGAATGCTGCTGGAATACGAATCGACCTATTTGCCTCGGGCATTAGTCGCAACGTTACCTTTACAAGGGATGCTGCAGGGCTGGAGGATCGTAACATACCCACCCTGGTCGCCACCCAAGGCCATGTCTGTAGCGCCGATGGCGACCAATCGTCCTGATCCACTGCTCGAACCTCCACATGTATAACCATCTGCATAGGGGTTATGGACGACGCCGGTGTAGGACGTATTGGAGATGGGTTCCATGCACGCGTTCTCACATGCTGTGGATATCCGAGGTCAATCATTTGGACCGTCTTTCACACCAAAGGACACTGATATATGGTTTCGATACTTACCAGATTTCCCCGTGATTATGCCGCCAGCATCCAGAACCCTGGTCACAATAGTGGCATCATACTTGGGAATCCACTCTCCGTTGACAGGAGGAAGGCCGTTGGTACATCTCACGCCAGCAACGGCAGTATTGTCCTTGACTGCCACGGTGCGGCCGGCCAGCAGAGTGCTTGTGGGAGCGACACTCTTGATGGAGCATCGTGTTGCCCAGCCGCCTTTGTCATTGTCCTCGGGAATCCGAATGTCTGTCCGGACATACCGCTCTGGATCTGGGATCGGGAGACTGTCGTCTTCCTCGAACACGAGCTGTGCACAGTCCTCAAAAGACCCCAGAAGAACCTGCCAGTCTTCAACTACACTGTCAGGTATTGATAGCCCGGCAGCTTTGACGAGCGCTCGAACTTCAGCAGCGTCGAGCTTTGTTCCTCTATTGCCATTAGAGAGTGTCACCCACTGGAATACATATGGCTTTGATAGCGAGGTTTTACATGGAATGACGACTTACTTTCCCAACGATGCTATTGCCATCCTTGCAGTTCTCCAAGTTCTTGCAGTCCAACTGGCTTTTCACTTCGCATGCAGTGCTTCACGCTTCAAGACATATGTCAAGGGTCTTCTCCCCTTCGCTTGCAGGCCTACCGGCTACTTCTTATGGTCATGTCTGTGACCGACACTGACCTTCCAGATTCGAAGGAATGCTATGCCAGACCGTGCCGACTTCCGGGCATTGGGATCCATCGCCAAGGCGCATCGAGGAGGTTGCGATAGTCTTTCGAGCCGTCCACGAGCCCGGGTCTTGACTGAACCGACTCTTGCTTGATAAAGGACGGAGATACCGTCCGTGGAGCCGTTGGACACAACTATCCAATAGCATCCCGATGTGGAATAGCCGAAGCACCTCGCGACGAAAAACACAGATAGTGAAAGTGGAGATATCCGACCTCGTCTCGAGAAATAGCGGCTCGAGAAGCCTTGCACGTGATACAGCCGAAGTTTGTCAGAGGTTGTGTATAGGCGGTATCTGGTTTTGTCCACTGACAATGGTAATGTTGGGTTCCCCTCTATCTCTTGGGAGAGTTTACGATATGCCGCGACTTCGCCCATCGTTGCCTTTCGCGGAAGGCAAGCATGATAGCCAGGCACCTGTCGTCCCAAACACATGGCAAAGAAGTACATTTTACCTTTGGCACAAGTCGACAAGGTCCTGATAAGAGATTCCACCCGGTATCCACCAGGGAGAGACCGACGAGACTGACTCGCGGTGGCGGTTGGTTCGCTGGACCGGTATCTCTCAGGCGGGAAACGTGGTTAGCCATGTCCTGACAAAGATGGGAAGATAGAAAGAGATACCCATTCCTGATGAAGTATATATCAACGTCCCCTTGACACCTGGATCCTCGGGAATTTCGCCAAATCCATCCCTCAGTCAACTCCTTTGTTTTCAAACAAGTCACCGCTCCATTACCCTGGTATCCAAAAGATGGACAATTCAATCACGGAGAAAAAGCCCGACGTCGAGGCTACAGCCACACCGGCGACCCCAGAGGATGAAAGGTCCAGATATGGAAGCGTCGACGAGGCCGAAGTCTTCGTCACTGGGCAAGGTGGTGTCAACTTCCGAACAGTCGGCTGGATCAGAGCGTCCATGTTCTTCCTCAAGATGACCTTTGCCGCGGGGGTGCTCTCCATCCCTGCCGCGCTCTACAATCTCGGTGCCGTTGCGGGCGGCATCTTCATTGTGTTCTGGGGCCTGCTCAACACATACTGCGCCGTGCTGCAAGGTCAGTTCAAGCTCAAGTACCCCTCGGTCCACACCATTGCAGACAGCGCATACATTGCCTCTTTGAAGATGGGTCTCACGAAGAAAAACGCCTGGGTCGTGAAAGAGATCACGGAATTTGTCTATCTTTTCACCTGGATCCTCTGTGCGGGCGTCTCGACGCTCGGCTTTTCCATCGCCCTCAACGCCGTCTCGAAACACGGCACTTGCACCATCACATTCGGCTTCGTTGCCTACATCATCGTGGCCTCGGTTGCCAGCATCAGAAAGATTCACAATCTTGGCTGGATTACGTGGGTCGGGTTCATCTCCATCGTCGCGGCCATCATGATTGTGGTCATTGCCGTCACGATACGTGATCGTCCAGCGGCTGCGCCTCAGACAGGAGACTTCGACCTTGGCTTCTCGGCCTCGCCTCCGGTCGGGGCAACCTTTGCCACCGCGTGGTCGGCTTCATTGGCCATCTTCTCCTCTTCGGCCAACACCTCCGGGTTCGTTCCCGTGATATCCGAGATGCGAAGACCACAGGACTACTTCAAGAGTGTCTATGTCACCATGGCCTGGATCACTTCGTCCTATCTGGCCCTGGCCATGACCGTCTATGCCTATTGCGGCAAATGGGTTTCCTCCCCAGCCTTGGGCTCGGCCGGCCCGACCATCAAGATCATCTCATACGCCATTGCGATTCCGGGCCTGATTGCCGGCACCATGATCTGCGTGCACGTGGCAGGCAAGAGCATCTTCGTCCGCATCCTGCGAAACACCCACCACTTGACCCAAAACACAAAGACGCACTGGGCGGTCTGGTTGTCGTGCACGTACGGAACGGGCCTGCTCGGCTGGATTCTGTGCGAGGCCATTCCCTTCTACGGCAGTCTGGTCTCGCTGATTGGCGCTCTCGGCTTCGGGTATCTGGGTGTCTGTATCCCCGCCATTCTATGGATGGTCTTGAACGAAGGCGCCCGGAAGGGTACCCCCGTGAAGATCTTCATGTATTATCTGCACGTGGGCATTTTCCTGCTGGGCTGCCTGATCACCGTTGGAGGGACGTACGCCAACGTGGTGAGCATTATCGATCAATACCGCGCCGGGCAGGTTGGGTCCGCGTTCAGCTGCCTTGACAACAGCAATACTGTTGCCGGAGGCTAGAGGTGGACGGAAACAGCGAAGCCCCAGGTCTCCGGAACAGATTTCCTGGCTGACAAATATGAAGGAGATCTGGTCCCAATGAGATGAAAGGCAAAAGACTCGCGTCGCGGATGATGTCTCCAAGCACTCGCGGGCAGCGGAACGCGCTGTTACTGGGCAACAACACTATCTGTCTGTCTTAGTAGTCTAGAATCAGACACACAGAGGCATCGGGAGACTCTTGCATGGTTTGGCTTCTAGAGAAAACGGAATACATAAGATGCCGAATAGTCCTAGTACCAACGCCCAAGTACTATGCCGCCAATCAAAGCCTTTCGGAATTGCCGACCTGCCGTATTAAGAGACCGCGGGGTTGGTTTTGTTATATCTTCGAAACACCCTGCTCGTTATCAAGAAAGCTAGACGAGCAATTTAGCTCCCGCGACCGCTGCTGGCGCAATCCTAAACTAGACATCCGGAGGACTCCATCAGGTGTATATCAAAGTTCGACTCCAACCCCAACCCCAGAGATAGGAAAGGGCAATATAGGAGATAGGCACCTCCACGTGCATAAGATAAGAGGAAGGACCACTTTCGCAAGGCGTCGGGTTAATCCGCGACCACTTCAAGCACAGTTTCCACTTGGGGACTCTCGGCGCCAATGTTTTTGGACAACGATAACGCTTGCCGAAGTACCGGATGGGGAAGGAATGGGAGGCTGGGACCCCCGGTCTATATCTCGGGACCCTCGATATTCCAACATCTCGCAACGAGGCTCGAGACGTAGGGTTGCAGGTAGTGGTCATACAGACAGTTCCTCGACACGATGCCCTCCCACGAGAGTCCCCGGCATACTACCACGCGCCTTCGCGTAACGACAGGCTGGTAGGTGCCTCAATACCCCTGTTCAGAGCGTTACTGTTGGTTCACCGCTGCAAGGATGACAACGCCGCGTTACTGATCCAGAAACGGTGAATATGCAGCCGTACATGCCGCACGCGGCACGTCAAATGCGACGAACGCAAGCCAATCTGCGGCAACTGCGCGAAGAAGAATCGGCCATGCTTGTATGAAGCCAGGCCGCGCGATCGAAGGGCCCCGAGCTCTGACCAGGCCGATACCACGAGTCGATACAACGATGCCCGGGGCTCGAGTATCGGCACCAATACCGCCGTCAATTCCAGGGTGACTTCGCCGTTCCTAGGACCGTCAACCATTGACAAAGCTGAAGCTGTCACGACGCCTGCCTCCTTTGGACCCGTCCTTGCTCAATATCTCAGTGAACAGTCTTTCTCGTACGACTCGTTCCAGACTTCTCATCACGGTGTTTCCAGAGACTTGGACCACCATGGCGACGAGTCTCGGCAGAGAAGGACTTCGAACACCGCAAGTCCTTCCTTATCAAGGCAAGGCGGGAGACACGCTGGGCTGTTCTCGCCGAGTCGTCAGGATAGAGACTCAAGCCATAGCTCGCCTCAAACTTCACCATTGACCGTCTCGGACTCCGTCCCTATCAATGGACACCCGGCAAGTATACCTCGCTCTCCAAGTGGACTGTATCCGTGGCATGGTCAGCTCTCTGGCCTAGGACACAGCGCTGTCTCCGACCGGCGGTCTACCAAAAGTGTAACCAAGAGCTCGCCTCCTTTTGAGGAGGTCGGATCGAATATTCCCCTGTATCTAACTGAGATGGACCTGTTTGTCCTCCGACACTTCGTGGAACGCGTCGCAGGCTGGGTATGTAGACGTGCTCCCCCTACAGTAGTTCGTGCATGAGCTCACATTCTCCATCAGATCGATGCGTTCTCCTCGGAAAATCCATACTCAACTATTGTCCCTATCTTCGCTCTGGAGTGCCCAGCAGTCTTGTTCTCTTGTCTTGCCATTGCAGGAAAGCAGTTGGCGTTAACAAGGGCAGGTGCTGAGGCCCAGATCACCGAGGACGTCGCGGTCGAGTATTACCAAAAGGCACTCAAGGCTTTCAGCACTCTTTTAATGGAGGCAGATTCAGCTTATAGTGACAAGATTCTGGCATCCAGCATCATGCTCTCTGGGTATGGTTTCATTACCCTTTTCACTTGGTCCTGACCTTCAAGGCGAAAGAATGATACGCTAATTTCACTCTACGTAGCTACGAGATGCTGGATATGATGGGGGAGAGTTTCAGTTCACACCTTCGGGGTATCGCCTCGCTCCTTCAACTGTGGCGAGTCAACGGAGACTCCCCCGGGATCAAGGGATCGGTTTTCTGGACGTGGTTCAGATCGGATTCGTGGGCAGCTTTGCATGCTGGACGACGCATGTTCTTGGACGAAAGCTACTGGGAGCCACGTGCGGTGGACTCTTTTGAAGACTTGTCTCATGTGGAAATTGCAAACCGTGCCCTGTTTCTGCTTGGACAGTGCGTCAGCTTTTGCAGTGGGGTTCAGTGTCGAGACAACGTGGAGGGTTTGGAGGAGATGAGCACAAGACAAAGAAAGAGGGACAAGATCCGAAGTGACCTCGAGCGGTGGAAAGGCATGCTTCCGCCTGCGATGACCCGCTTCTATGTGAGCCTGGCGCAACAAGAAGAGCAGGATGAGGACTACACGGCTCATCCGCACGCGAGGGACATATCATCCATATGGTATGTGTATCCACACTGTGGTAAGCACACTCCAGGGCCTGAAACCATTTCCGGAAGACATACTAACCAAAGAACCAGCCGTCGGGATCCAAATGTACCACGCATGTCAGATCTTGCTGGCGCTCAGTGGACTCCCATCCTCGTCCCGACGGCAGGGTCAGGGTCATGGTCATGGTCAGGGCCAGGGCATCTTCACCGCCACCGCCGAATCACTGTCCGTCCGACGGCTGATCAACCGGTCGCGCGAACAGATCCTGCTCATCGCCAATTCCGGGACTACCGATCCCTTCAGCTTCACTTCGACCCAGTGTCTGTACATTGCAGGTCTGGTGACGGAGGGTGTTCAAGAGCGACGTCGCACTATTGAGTTGCTCGAAGAGTGTCAGAGGCAGTCGGGTCGCCGCACTGTGCAGATTGCCGACGAACTTCGAGCGGTGTGGGCGGAAGAGTGGTAGCGCAGCAGCCTCCGGGCCTCGAAAAGCTTTCAACGATTGTGTAAAACTGGACCTTTATAGTCAAGTGTAATGACGCTGTACATCCCCATATTGCTCTCGAGGGTGACAGCACAGTGCTAAACAAAACAGATATATGATATGTCGTGTCTTGCCTCTTGATATGCATGTCGTAACCATCTACTGACCTGGTCTGTCCTGTTATCCCGAAAGTTCAATCCAGCGTGTACAGGCACCCACGTGCATTCAACCTCAGACGTCTCCCTTCGTCAACGTGTGGACAGAGGTCTCGCTTTTCGGACTGTCGGTCAACTATTGTCAGTGAATCTGATCAAATTAGCAAGTACGAGGTAGTAATATCTCCTTCCCACCCCGCCACTGAACCACCTCCCTCCTAAACTACTTGTACAGTAAGTAACCCGACTACCACCGGCCACCAGTGCCACATATATTGATAAACTTCCACATATAAGTACATACATGGCCTACTTGTACGAGTAACACCTTCCTTGACGTGCCTGAACACATGTGAACCCATCCATAGGACTTGTCCCTGGACAGAGTACCCGGCTCGCCGGTACAGTAAAGGCCAAATTATTAGCGCGACCATATGACCTATTCAGGTTAGAGCCTCATCGGCCGGCGCCCAGGCACTTGGCGCTCATTCGGGCTTAGCTCAAAGTGTATTGTGATGTCCTTCTCCACCGTCTCCCGACCTAAAAAGGTTTCGGAACGATGGCGAGAGAGGGTAGTGCTGTCTGTCTAACGAAGGGGAATATGTAGATACACGGTTTAAATAAGAAGAGACAAGGCTAGATGGTACTCTGCACAGCTCGTATGGTCGGGAAAATCTTGACGTGTTGCTTTCTGCCGAGAGCTAGCCAGCTGGCTGGTTGGCTGGCTTGGTTTCTTGCCCCATGCAGCCATTTAATATGTACCAAAGGAAAAGATTTTGTTTGGGAGTTGCAGGAAGGGTCCCCTTGTCTCCTCGTATTCTCGAACGTGCTATTAGTAGAGCCTAATCCTTGTAATGTCCGTCCTCCAATCGACGCCAATCGCTAGGTGATAGTTTGTGTAACACACTCGTTTTGTCCGTCACTGACGAATGTCACTTTTGTTGGCAATCAGGCTGAACCCGCGGTGTAGAGCATTTGTGACTGTGGACGCGCTGAGTAATATTTCCATCCGCGCCTACGCGATGAAAGTCCTTGGTTGCGTTTTCGAATGTGCAGATTGTCTACCTCACTTTTCAGCCGCAACGTTACTGTGTCATCCCCTGTCCGAATTCCAACTCCGCATATGATCGTCACGTACAGACACCACCTGAGACAGGCAGCCGGGCAAAGCAAACCAATCAACAACCTTGTCGTGCCATTGCTACTTGAACTGCTCGAGTCAGAGCGGTGGGATCAAACAGAACATCACGTGATAACCTCCTTTAGAGAAGGGCTTGAGCGCCTGAAATTTGCGCGGGGCCGCGATATGCCCCTCGATATGCATAGCAGCTCGCCGACCCAGGATTTTGATGAACGCATCTTACAGTATCAGATCCTCCGGATCCGGCAGAATCTGGACTCTGGACGCGCAGCCGGAGTAGTCTTGAGAATTTCCTCGTTGTCAAAGAGACCGCCAGCGCCTGGACAATACCCTTGGTCTCCACGGGTTCCTGTCGAAGAATTGTGACAGAACAATCTACCACAACACCCTGCATGTGGGTGAGGGGCAGCCAATATTTCATCGGCTGGCGGCTTTCTCTCATTGCGCTTCTGAGGCAATGTACTGACATACTGCAGGATTTACTAAGACCAGGGCACGCATATCTTTCTCCCTCCTACTCCAAGGACGGATTTCAAAGCACCGTCCCGATATTCAATTCCCTCCGTCAATTACCCGCGAGACCTTAGCGCAGCCTAAATAACTCCGCAAAGGAGGTTGTCCTCATCAAGGATGGGCTACGTCCCACCGGTGCATGCGTTCATTTCATTCTGCGAGCTTGATCCTCTTGATCGTGGAGCATCACTCAGAATACTAAACGGTGAGTCAGAAGCTTTGAAAAGAACGACAGCGTACAGCATACACGCGATATCATTGAGGGTATATAGCTCTTTGAACCTTTTACCTACTTTAGGCCGATGACCGGAAATAGACACTAGGGTTTCGTAGTACCAGCCCAGAATAAAGGCTACGAATAATGCCTGTGATTACTATCATCCTCCAGGAAGGTTAACATTTCCTAGAGGTTCTGCTCAATCTACCGTAACCGGGCGCAATATGTCTCGTTTACCAACAAATCATATCTTCGTGAAGAGGCGGGGTAAGTAACGGATGCTGGAGGGGGCTCCTATAATAAATACGCTGCCGTCTGTCCAGCGGTCATGTCTTGTTACTCATTTCGCGATTCTTTCCAGTCCACTACAGGTCCTCGGATCAGCATGTCCCATGGCTGACAATCCAACGTCTCAGACACGTAGCGTGCCTGGCTACTTAAAATCTACTCGGAGTTCCTCCACAAAGGCTAGGAATGCAGCTACGGAGCAAGAGCGTTCTAAAAACTCGCGTGGGGCCCCAAATCGCGGGCACAACATTCCTTTCTCAAATGGTAACCTCAATCCATAAAACAGCCCAGGCTCTCTTGAGCTTCATAGAGGCACTAACCTTACATGATAAGTAGAAGACACACCTTCCCAGAACGTAAACATGTCAGAGGAAAGCGACGCAGGAACCGGTCCATCTCGCCCTAGGCTAAGTGCCAAAGGAAAGGAAAGAGCTGAAAGCATAAACGAACACTCGCAACAAGATTTGATAACGGTTGCTATCAATGACATCAAATCAGACCTGCGCGAGACGAGAGACTCGAACCGCGAGACGAGAGACTCAAACCGAGAGACAAGGAACGACGTTGTGTCACAGTCTAAAGAGATTTTTAGTCGATTTGAAACTCATATAACGGCACTTATGGAACATCAGGACAACCACCACAGAACCGAAATAGAAAATCAGGAAAATCGGCATCGAGCACAGATGCAAGAACTCAGGGAAAATCACACAGCCCAAATGGCAAATCAAGACAACCAGCATCGAGCACAGATGGAAGAACTCATGAAAATTCTGAGAACAACCTTGGCTCCATACACCGATGCAAGGATTATTGTTTGGACAAACAAAGAAGCTAAGGCGAGAGACACCATCAGGCGAAGACAAGCACACAAGGCACCGACACGGTTGCATCAGGCTCCTAATTTAAGGGGCCAGTAACTTAAGTCTCGACAATGCGAAAAGAAAATTCGTCAGCAGCCTACGACAGACTGTTTCATTGCGGTGCTGGGTTCGCATAAAGCGTGACACGTCGAAGGCGTCCTCTGTGAGGGAACGCACAACGTCCATTTCGACCTTGTGAAGAGTTGGTGAACCATTATTTTGCAGTCTCCAATATCGACCGGGCAGCCACAAGCTCCAGGCTTCAAAGCAGTGCTAGAGACCAGGAGGGTACCGTGCACGCCCTTCAACGTTGTGCTTAAGAGATTTGTACATGGAGCGTCATGTCTAACGTTGTCCGGATCTCGATGGCGCGTTAGAGGGTCTGTGAGTTCTAGTTTCATTGCGGAAAATCACTTGACGCCAGGATATGTCTCCCACAGCCTTGCGAACAGTGAGCTAGTGATGATCTGCTATTCCTGTTCGGGTTCTTCTTGTCAGTAAAGTCATCAAGTACAATAGGTTCACGTAATGTACCGATACACCCTCGAGGCCACAGGTTTCCAGCACCAGTATCGCCCTGGACAGTGGTCAGGATACCTCAGCTTCTTCTGTTGCGCTCACAAGATGCTCAAAGTCACTAAACGCCTTGCGTTCGTGTGGTGCTCTACCTACACAGGTCGACAATTATCTACCAGCCTTCCAGGATGGGTTTGACTCGAACCTCTTTGGAGCGCCCGTGCCGTGGTCTCAAACCTGACAGAACAACGGGGTCATAGCTATTCTCTACTAGCAGTGAGGCTATGACCAATTTTTCGGGGCTATGATGAGCTCCATACGGAACTTCTGCGAGTAAATTGCAGTATCTTAGATCAGGTCGGCGTGTTCTGGCGTTCTCGGAGACCTCAATCTGGAGAACAGCTGTGAGATATCTGTTCTTTGAACTATCATGGTGTCAACAGGACCAACGATGACGCTCACCAAGGTTTCAGGCTCTCACTTGGCAGTCGTGGAAATACTAGTGTCCGCGTTAGAGCAGAAGGTGAGCCGAGGGTAAGTGAGCACGTGAGCCGGTCCACGATATCTCCGCGGCACCGCAATCCTATTTTGGAAACCACATCACTCTGTCTCGCTAGTTGGTTGTCCAACCACGCTGCCATCCGAATCTCAACCCTACAGCCATCGCAGCGTCAATTCTCAAAACAATTTTCATCGGAATCTAATTCCTCTACGAATTCCGATCGTCCCAGTTGGAAGGTCCGGCGATGAATAGCGCGAAGTCCCACTTCGGCCACCATTGCCATTGTCACAAACGGTGACGGGGGGCAAATATGGCAGACACCAGTGAAAATGCTCCTCTGAACGAATCTACCCTTGACAAAGTTGGCGGTGAAGCTTTGCAATCGCCCAATCCGCCACGACAATTCACAGTCTATGATGTGGTGGCTGGAAGAGCGGGCTTGAATGGATTTTTGACCCACGACCAGAGGCGGTCCGAACATGTTTTACCCCTTGCACCAGAGGAAGTCCTCCTGCGCAGGTCGACCATCCCGGAGCATGTGATCCACGAGTCGTATGACGCTGCAGGCGAGCTTTCTAGCCACGAAAAGCTACCCGAGTCTGAAATGCTCAAAGCCGTGCATGCGTACGCCTCGGATTTCTACAGTTGCGCGGTACAAGGACAAGGGACATTTGATTTTCGAACTTTCGACGAGACGGCCCTGATTGCCTTTGGAATTCTACTCGAGGAAGCCGTCAAGGAGACCCTAGGACAGGATGGGGATATGGTGTTCGTGGAGCCTGACGGACTAGAGCACGGACTCGACGAAACAAAACTGATCAAACATCAAGTCAAGGGTCGAGTTAAGCCAGCCAAAGCACCCAGAATAGACTCCTCGGATGACAGTCTGATTGAGGAAGAGTCACCAGCCAAAAAGCCGCGCCATTGAAAATGAACCGTGGAAAGAAGTTGAGCTTTTGGGGTTGAATAATGATCATGTGCCTGCCCAAGAACAACCAAATCTACCACGGATCACCTTTTCAAATCCCGGTTCCGAAGGTTGATTGCGGGATGGCCTAGATCGACGATAAAGCTTGCAGGAGGGAAGCTTTGCTGCGTCTAGTTGTGGCCAGCTCAAAGTCGGGCTTAGTTGAGACAGACTTGCATACTGGAACAAACATGCTTGGATGGAAAGGGGAAGGATGCCAGGGCGGTGGTCTCAAGGCCGTCAATCAGATGGTGGAAGGTGTCACGTCAGGAATCTCCCTTACAGGCAGTTTTTCAATCAGGACTTTTCATGCTCGGCATACGTGCTCAGAACAGGTGGATGATACCCCAGGTCTAGTTACGCTGCTGCAGGGTTTGACGGTGGTTTCTGGATAAGTTAACTCCGTAGGTGGTTAGGCTGTTTGTGCGACACCAACTTATTGGATCATTTTCGGAGCAAGTGCGGTAGCTCATGTTGTGGGTGGGACAAAACTGGGTTCGCCGGGCGTGTGGGCTTCGCAGAGGCAGCTACGGGGGATGCACGAGTAGCCATTAGGTAGGTATAGGCATGGTGGGCTCACGACTCGTAGGCGTCTCGGGGCCCTAACCCGTTGTTAGGTAACCAGTCACCATTCAGTGGTCAGTTGGTCCCCGGCTGCTAGTGCTTGAGTTTTTCTCTGCTGCCCGCCTATGGAACACCCAACTCCACCGGCTCGCCTACTCGTGCACTCGAGAGTTGTTAGGTTCTCGGGCCCCTGCCCCACGAAGAAGATGGAAAAAGCTTGACAGGGAGAGTCGAGCCCAACTGGCCCCCCAAAACATGGCCCAAACACTCTGCCTCGTATGGGGTACCATAAGTCGCAGCTTTCTCAACCATTATGATTCCCACCATTCTGTTACTTACCACCCATATATCTACGCGGACAAATTCTCAGAAACCACTGTGCTGCTGACACCTCGTCTCGTCACACACAGCCACCTTCTCCCTCTTACGGTCCTGTAGATTGGACGGAAAATGAGCAAGGTTGAAGTGGGCCATCATCAGTGCGCTGCCACCACTGCGAGTATCTGATGACGACGACGGTTAGGGGACGACGAACAGAAGTTGACCTGGCTTGCCTGGAGACCACTAAATAGCAAATCTGCAGTCTGACATGCAAGTGTCCCTCGTTGGAGCAACCCACCACCACCAAGAGACGATACGAACTGCATGCCAATGAGGCTCATCCTGCGCCACTACCCTCTTGAGCACTTCCCCCGTTCAAGCTGTTCTAGGTCGAATTAGATAAGTCCAGCAGTCCAGCCCCCGGTCGACCCTCTCCAAGTCCACCAGTGCATCCACCCATCCTCGCCATCCCACTTGTGACCAAGTGACCAGTGACCTCTTCCTGGCTCCCCCGAGCCCTGTCCGTCCCCCCCTTCTCCAGCGGCTTCCCACTCCCTCCTGCGCGACTCAATAATATTGCCTCCCGGCATTTCCCTCTCGATCAGACCACAGAATTCTCGACCTGCCAAGCACCGAAGCTTGAATTCGCAGACAAGCATCAATCCGACTACTCCATCTCCCATCAACGTGGTACACTACCACCGTTGACCGAAGCTTAGCCATTTACCTACGTCCTCGACCTCCCCAGAAGAAGGGCCTGCGCATTGTCGAAAAAACACATTGCACACTCGCGACACTCGTTCCCTCTATCTGTCGACCGATCCTGCGAAGCACGGCGCGAGCACTGTGGTTGTCCCCTTATAAAGCCCCGGAATTTCCCCTCGCCTGCGCCCAGGCCAGACGCGACCTCGTCGAACAACAGTTGCTAGAGATACACCTGCCGCAGCCCTTCGCCATGCGTCGCTGAATCGGACAACACCTGATCTCGCTGACGCCTTTCGATCGGTGCTGCGGTCCTCCGACTCCTTGCGCAGGCACTGGGCCTTAATTGATGACGAAGCTGACTGTCGCGCCCCCCGCCACGACGCTCATTAGTAAATGCACATATTAAACCACACTTCTGGTTTAAGACGTTCTCGAAAGCCTGCCCCTCATCCTCAAGACCAAATCCACCACGTGTCGAAAGTTTAGCCAACAATGCTCCGGTGGTTGTCGCCGTTATAGCAGTGAATGGCTCTGGTCCTAACGGCAATGCCTCTCGAGTCACTGCTCACGAACCCAAACCCGCCAGTGCCTCGGCCCCGGTCCATACTCTCCTTCTTGTCTAATCCTCTGGGGAAACATGCTCGAAATATGTTTGATATGACCATTGAGCCCGAGGATCCCTTCCGAGTCTATTTTCCGGGTCAAATTGTCAGGGGCAATGTGGTCCTCACGGTCCTCAAGGGATTCGATATTACACATCTGGTTGTGGCTCTGCATGGATACGCAAAAGTTTATAAACACCAAATACCCCCTGGCGAAGGTCTTCCAGCCCCCGAGGGTTTGATAAACGGCCAAGGTTCAAGAGGAGTGCAATATCAAGGCAACGGTCTGGTGTCGTTATTCCAGCATGAGCAGGTCCTGTGTGGCAGTGGCTTTCTCAAGAAACAGGTTTACAAGTTTGCATTCGAGGTTCCCTTCCCTTCAAAAGGCCTCCCCAGCACAATTGATGTATGTGGACTGCTTCGCACTTCCCCTGTCGTCACACTAACGCCGAATCAGTTTGAACGTGGATCAGTATCCTATTTGGTGACTGCCACTCTTACACGTCCAACAACGATAAGTCCTATGACCAGTCGAAGCACTAAAATCAAATTCCAAGACCTGGTTGATATCGAGCACATGTATACACCAAAATCACGGGTAATCACATTAGAGCCTGTCTCCAAGCGCGGCAAAGTCAAAGTCGTCAAACCGGCGTCGTCTGTCACGACACAGACGACATCCAGCCCTGGGGCTGGTCGCTTGAGCCGGAATAACACGCAGAACAGCACGACCAGCCGGAGCACTCATTCCATCAGCAACCCTCCGCTAAGCCCCGCGCCAAGCGAAGAAACGATGCAGACAAATGCCACACCAGCAAGCAGCCCAAGTTTTCACATTGCGGACGATGTATCGCCTCCGCCAAATCCAAGCCCGCAGAAC